ACACTGTCTTATTTTCGGGGAAACAGGGTACCTTGATGTGGCCTACAAGGATACTGCAGGCTAAGCCATCCCAGAAGTGGTGGGACAACAGGCTCACAGGCCAAATGGAGATGCTCAAGTCCAAGTTTATTATATCACTGTAAAGCAGGAGGAAGAGACGGGGTCCGCTCCAACACTCAGGATGGGGACAAGTGCGAAGGACCACACTACATGGATCCCCAGTTATGAAATGTTTGTATGAACCTGATCTCTCTCCTGCAACAGCCTGCCCAGCTGGTGGTCAGGGGAGAGACTGACGTCTGAACAAAGAGGCCGACAGACAGAAGGGACCTGGGCCAGTGATACACACTCGCTCTGTTAGAGAGCAGAGGGCGATGCCTCGCCACAGCTGTAGCTCGCCCAGAGCCTGCCAACAGCTTATGGTCCCAGCATCCATTCCTAGGCAGAGCGCCTGTGTCCAGAATAGGACCATGGTGGCCAGGGTGAGGTGATGTGGCTGTCAGCCAGAGGTGGCGCAATCGTGATTTGGTCTTCCCCTCCACGGCGGTCTTGTTTGGTGCATCACACGTTTCCTTTCGTCTACCTAGCTTTCCATCCTCCAGGCTAGCAGGTGACTTAGTCTCTATAGTCAGCATGTCTCCTGAACTCTGCCCGTCTCACTGCTTGCTCACTGCCTGTATTTAATGCACCCTGGCCCCTTCCTGTGCTCCACAGCAGAACCGAATTCTTCATATAATGTAGCAACGGACGTTATACTAACCAGCGTCTAAATAGTTTTCTCATTTACTCAGTTAAATGTATTGCCATTACTTATGTTTTTGTATTATTTTATTCACCTTGCCCTTTCTCATTTTCCTCCCAATTCTGGTCATTTTGAAAAGGATAGTATTATGCTAAGTGAAATAAATCAGTCAGAGAATGACAAATACCATCTCACTTATATGCTGAATCTAATGAACAAAATAGACAAAATAGAAATAGACTCATAGATACAGAGAACAGCTGTCAGAGTTGGGGGGGTGAGGAGCTAGGTGAAAAAGATGAAGGGATTAAGCCACACACACAACCCACAAAAAAACCTCTTAAACACAGACAATATGGTGATTGCCAGAGGGAAAAGGGGTGGGGGAGGTGGAAGAGGCAAAGAAGGGATGAATGGAGGCAGAAAGAGACTTGCTTTGGTGATGAGTGCACACTGTAGAGTGGAGGATGTGATCTAGTCATACACCTCCGTATGGCTCTTTGACCAGTGTCATCCCACAGATCAATGTACAAGACACTAGACATGTTTTGTGCATGTTCTTCCCTAAAGTCAAACATTTTCAATTATCCTTACGTTTCTATTTGATATTAACATGTAGTATGCGGAATATAATTCTCCTTTCTTCGTCCGAATTTCTCATGTTGTCCATTTGACACAAGAGGCTTTTCTTTCTTTCTTTCTTTTTTAATATATGTTATTGATTTTTCACAGAGAGGAGGGGAGAGGGATAGAGAGCTAGAAACGTCGATGAGAGAGAAACACCGCCCAGCTGCCTCTTGCACACCCCCCACTGGGGATGTGCCCGCAACCCAGGTACATGCCCTTGACCGGAATCGAACTTGGGACCCTTCAGTCCGCAGACCGACGCTCTACCACTGAGCCAAACCCGTTTTGGCACAAGAGGCTTCTTAAACATTCCCATGAGCCACAGCTGTTCTAGACCACAGCAGCTGTCTGCTGGGCACAGTCAAATGCAAACTGGGATACTAACGGGGTGAATGCATCGCCAGGAGGATGCAGAACCGGACTGGCTGTCTCCTCCCTCCCCAACGCACTTCTCGCACCAGCCTTCCCAGCAAGCTCAGCCACACACAGCAGCGTCAGTGACATCCACTGAGCGCTGTCCTTTGCCAGCACTGGAGAAAGCAGAAGCCATCAGCAGATTCCCACTCATTTGATCTTAAGTGCTTTCCTGAAAGGTTCTGCTTAACAAACGCTGTTGTCAAAAGTCATGTTGAAACCTACTTTTTTATTTTAGGAAACTTTTCTCTTACCCAATTATATTTGTAAAAAGCACAGGAAACAAGTCATGTTTGAGGGGAAAAGACAAAAACTTTTTTTGTCTAAGCCTGGAAGATCGGTCCATAAATAGAACGAGGCTGCGCAGCCAGCGTGGCTCAGTGGTTGAGCGTGGACCTATGGACCTGGAGGTCATGGTTAGATTCCCGGTCAGGGGACAGGCTGGGGTTGCAGGCTTCATCCCCAGTAGGGGGCGTGCAGGAGGCAGCTGATCCATCATTCTCTCTCATCACTGATGCTTCTCTCTCCCTCTCCCATCAATCTAAAGTCAATTAAAAATATAAAAAACAAACAAAAATAGAACAAGACTGAGCAGGATGCAGAGAATTGCTAATAATACTTAGTGGCTAAGAAATTTACTCCCCTGAACCGAGATTTGCTGTCCAATATGGTAGCCACTGCCAATATAGTTAATTAAGTTTAACTAATTAAAATTTTAAAAGTAAGTTCCTGGGCATAGAAGCCACATTTCTAGAGCTCAGTGGCGACATATTGCTAGTGGCTACTATATTGGTTGGTGCAGACAGTGTATTTCTTATCATTATGGACAGTTCTGAAATTACAATTTCCTACAAATTTCTAGGAACAGTTTGGTAATCTGAAAGCAGTCGGCCAACTGCAATGAGTTAGGATACATGCCATCCATAGGCTGTGATAGAGAGGGAGGCAGGGAGTGTGTGTTGGCAGCAGGGAGAGGGACGTGCTCCCTATTCAGGAAACTGGGTGGATATTGACCCTATTCTCTGAAATAGGAATGCGAAAGGCGTGGAATTGATTTTACTTTTTAGAGGACGGGGGTGAAAGGTGAATTTCTGTTTTACCCATTTTAAGTTGGAGATTGTGAGGGACAGTCTAACAAGATGTACAATAGGTAGTTGGATTTATAAGTTTGGAGGAGTCACTCTTAAGTAGCTTAAAGGGAGATGCATGCATGTGGATCTCTCATCACTCCTTAAAATAAGTGCCTAGAAGAGAAACTGCTTTTTCAGGGTATGAGTAATATGTGGTCTTTCCCCGTTTCTCCTCCCCGTCCCCAGTGGCCTTTGTGCTGTGGTGATAAACAGGCATTCCCTAGTGGCCCTTGAGATGTGTGCTACAGATGTTACTGATGGGCGTGGTCGGTCAGAGCCCTTTCTTTGGGAAAACAGCCACAGCCCTCTGCGTGTTCCAGAGGCTTTGTAAACACCATTGCGCCCTTATCAGTCCAGGTCCCCGCAGGAACACAGGCATTTCCTAAGGAATTTTAAACAAGTAGCATTTACCATGAACACTGTATACAGAGGTGCTAGAAGAGATTGTCACACACTCCTGGCTGCAGCTCAGTCCTGGAGCGGGGAGAACAGTGAGGGTGTCTCCCATCCTCAGAGCTCCAGAGCAAGCTCACCGCCAGGGGCGCCCGAGGGTGGGAGAGGAAGACAGGCCGCCAAGGAGAGGCTGCAGCCCTGGCTCTGGGACTTTGTAAGGAGCACAGCCATTCCCCAGGATGCCCCCTTCTGGCTCCCTGCTGTGCCTCCTCGGGGCTGGTGAGTGGCAGTCACCTGGCCAGGAAGGCTGGGACATGTAGTCTGCAGACTCCAGCCCAACCATCACCACAGAGCAGAGTTTCGGTGAATATGCAGCTCAGAGACCGCAGGTAAATAACCTGCACTTGGTTAGGAATACAAACTTTCCTCCTTTAGTTGTGAATAAAGAAAATTGACTCATTTGATCTCTGATCTTTCGTGAACTTGGCAGACTCCAGGCAGGGTCTATCACCATGACTACCACATAAAATGGTCAGCTGATGTGGCTCAGTGGTTGACTATGGACCTATGAACCCGGAGTTCACGGTTTGACTCCCTGCTCTCAACCAGGTTGAAGACTCGTTCCCTAGTAGAGAGTGTGCAGGAGGCAGCCGATCAACGATTATCTCCCATCACTGATGTTTCTAGCTCTCTCTTCTTCTCTGAAATATATATATATATATATAAATTTTAAAAATAAAGTGCTCCTTAAATATCACTAAGTATTTGAGCAAACAAATGCCTATTCCCATCATTGATAAGTAGTTCAAATCAGTGCTCAAATTACATGATGGAGCTATAAAGTGATTTTTAAAGACACTTTCGCTCCTATGTACAATGTAGTATTTTCCATTACAGCTGAGCTGCTGCTTCGCGGCAGTTCTTGGCAGTTTGCCTTAAACTCACACAGTCTCGCAGGTGTGGCCGTGTCCGGCGCTGGCCACGGGAGGCGCACCGTCTCGGTCCGCTCTGACCCTGGGCGCTGGGAACAGGAGGGGACAACAGGGCGATGACCCTGGGCATTGGGGACAGGAGGGGACAACAGGGCGATGACCCTGGGCACTGGGGACAGGAGGGGACAACAGGGCGATGACCCCGACCGGCTGCTCCTCGGAGAGGGGCCCCACCCCCGGACCGGCCACGCGGGCCCCTCCGCGAGGACACGCACAGCGAGCGCCCCGGCCTCTGGGGCGCGTCCTGCGGCCGCCGGGGCCACGGGAAGCGACCGGGGCTCCCCGGCCACGAGGCGGGACCACAGCGCGTGCGCGGCGCGGGAGCCCCGGTCCTCCCGGCGGAGAGCCGGGGCCGCACGGCCCGAGGCGACTCCCGGCCACGGCCCCTCAGGAGCGCCGCGCCGGCTCACACCGGCCTCCGGCCCAGCCGGTTCTCCGGGAAAAGCGGACCCCCGGCAGCTTTAACCCGCCAGCCCGGCGCCGGGGACGGGCGGACGGGGGCGGACGGGGCGGACGGGGCGGAAGCGCCGGCGAACACCTTGGACGCAGGGCGGACACACTGAGGGCGGCCGTCGTCCCGGGGACCGGCTCCCGCGCCACGGCTCCGGGGGCGGGCCCCGAGGCCCCGCCCTCGCCACGGCGGCTCTCATTGGACCCCTTCCTGTGGCGTCAAATTTCGGCGTCCGGAAGTAGGCGGGACTTCCTGTCTGAAGGACCAGTTCCGGCCGCGCCGGAAGTGCCCGTTGGAGAAAGGATGAAAGGTACCCGCCGCCCGGAGTTCCGGGTAGGGCTAGCGTTGCGCGGCCTCGGAAGGAAGAGTGGGCGGGTGCCCCTCCGCTGACCGCCACGTCCCGGGCAGCGGGGCCGCGGTCCGGCATGGACAGCCGCCTGCAGGAGATCCGGGAGCGGCAGAAGCTCCGGCGGCAGCTCCTCGCCCAGCAGGTCCGCGGCCGGGAGGGGTCGCCCTGCGCGTGCGCGGCCTCCGCGTCCCGCCCGCTGTGTGTCCGCCCCGCGGCCCGGACGGCCCGAGCCCCCTCCGGCCCTCAGCCCCGCGGTGCCGAGGGGTCCCGTCCGGGGCGCGAGGCGATGCCGGACCGGGCGCCGCGGCTGGTCCCAGCGGCCTCCCGGGGTGCCCGCCGTGCTGGGCGCTGGGCGCGCGAAGCTCCCGCCTGGGGATGCGTCACCGTCCGGCACACGCCAGGCGCCTGGTCCGCTGAGCGTCTCTCCGCCGTCTGCATGCTCTTCTGTGTGTTGCCTTTCCTCGTAGTCAGCACCCACGTCTTGAGATTGTGGCTCCTTGTGAGATGGGTTTACAGAAATTGGGGGGGGGGGGGGGGTGTCTGCGATGCGGTAGCCTGAGTGTACATGTTAGGTCCTGCCTCTGGTGTACTGCAGCCCATGTGCAGTGTCCTCGTGTCCCCACGGCCCTGTGTGAGTTCATGCTCTGTCACGGCACACCCCCGATGTGAGGAGAGAGCATGATCTTCACTCAGAGGAGGCCCAGAAGCTCAGGGACCTTGGCCTAGGCGTCAGTCTGCTGGGCCAGAAACTGAACCCACTTTGTTTTTCTAAAGCTGTCTTCACTGCCTCGTGTGTAAGAATACACTTGCTGACGAGTACAGGAGGCCTGCAGAAAATGCTTACATCAGAAGCTGTGCTTCACATTTTACCATTCGGATCCGTCAGAGTGATGGAGAGGCTTTAACGAAGCATCTTAATGTTGTTTTTCAGTAATAAATCTTGGTTTTAATTAGTGGAAATCCGAAACCTCTCTTTTATGATCTGATGAAAAGATTTATGGCATAGCATTAAAATGTGGGAATTTGGGATCCTATCAGTCCCTGTCCCTGTGGCAGTACCATCTTAGACAAATCAGTTATGTTTTTCTAAGCCTGCCTTTTCCCACCTTCCCATACCATGCTTTCTTCGATAGCTTCGTGTTGCCATCAAGTAAAGTTCTTATGCTTTAATTTGAATTCAAACTGTTTGACTCTAAATACATTATAGAACAATTGTAATTCATTTATCTATGAATAATAGCCGGCCTCTACCCTCAAAGAACGTACAGTGCATGAAAATTTGATGGCTGCCGTTTGCTAAGTTCCCTCCGCGTGTCAGACTCAGCTGAGCTCTTTCCTACATTGTCTTCAGTGGCACAGACACACATTTTACAGATGAAAAAAATGAAGCTCAAAGAATTTCAATTAAGTGCTCAAATCCACACAGCTGGTGAGCTGCAGGTTTAGCCCTCCGGGGTTCTGCCCACTGCATCCGAGTGCTCCCGGCCTTCCAGCGGGATGGGAAGTCAGGAGGTCCAGTTCTATACAGACCACTTCCCCACTCCCTTCCCCGCTACTTTTCTCTATGGACGAGACAGAACGTATTTAAGTATATTTTTATTGATTTCAGAGAAGAAGCGGGGGAGAGAGAAACAGAACAGTGCTCCCGCCAGGGCGGTTACCTCTCAGTGGGGAAGAAGTAAACTGATATAAATAATTGAAATAGACAAATAATTGGAAGTTGTGATAGAGATTGTGAAGCAATTACCTTGGGAGCAAACAAAAGTAAAACAAAGTAATTGGGAGTTACTTAAGTGCTCTGGTCTGAAGGAGGGGAGGAGGAGGAGAGAGCGTGGGAGGGGCTGCTTATTCTCTGTGCAGCGTTCCCGGGACCCTCCGTTCCGGGGACCCTGCGTTCCCTGGGACCCTCTGTTCCCGGGGACCCTCCGTTCCCGGGACCCTCTGTTCCCGGGGACCCTTCGTTCCCGGGGACCCTCTGTTCCCGGGGACCCTGCGTTCCCTGGGACCCTCCGTTCCCGGGGACCCTTCGTTCCCGGGGACCCTCTGTTTCCGGGGACCCTGCGTTCCCTGGGACCCTCTGTTCCCGGGGACCCTCCGTTCCCGGGGACCCGGGGACCCTCCGTTCCCGGGGACCCTCCGTTCCCGGGGACCCTCCGTTCCCGGGGACCCTCCGTTCCGGGGACCCTCCGTTCCCGGGACCCTCCGTTCTGGGGACCCTCCGTTCCCGGGACCCTCCGTTCCCGGGGACCCTGCGTTCCCTGGGACCCTCTGTTCCCGGGACCCTCTGTTCCCGGGACCCTCCGTTCCCGGGGACCCTCCGTTCCCGGGGACCCTCCGTTCCCGGGACCCTCCGTTCCGGGGACCCTCCGTTCCCGGGGACCCTCTGTTCCCGGGGACCCTCTGTTCCCGGGGACCCTCCGTTCCCGGAACCCTCCGTTCTGGGGACCCTCCGTTCCTGGGGACCCTCCGTTCCGGGGACCCTCCGTTCCTGGGGACCCGGGGACCCTCCGTTCCGGGGACCCTCCGTTCCCGGGACCCTCCGTTCCCAGGACCCTCCGTTCCCAGGGACCCTCCGTGGAAGGAACTCGGACTGGGCGGGAGGTTAGAAAGCTTCCCGCTTCCTTCGCCGGAAGTGGCTGTACCTCCTGAGTCAGGAGAACAGGGTCTGGAGGCCTGTGGAGCAGTTAAAATCCAGGAACAGATATTTTGGAAAAGCATTGTCCCTGGAGAAACATGGAGACTAAACATTGGTGGTTATTTAAGGTAAATGCTGAGGACTGGCTTCTGACGTGTTAGCAGGCCTTCCCCTTCCCCACTTCCTGGCTACAGGGCCCATTTAATAAACACTTCCTCCTGCCCTTCTCTGCCTAACAGCAGCTGGTCCCTCTGGCCCCCGGGCCGCATCCTGCGCCCCCTGGTCTGGCTGCTGAGGATTGTGAGCTGAGCCCACGCTGCTCAGCCGGTCTTTTCCATTTGTTTATACGTGTTATTGGCAAATGTTCCCAGCTGCCGGCCAGACTTTGTGTTACCATGTTTAAGGAATTAGTAAAGTTCAGTATTGTGCCTATAGTCATTCTTTTAAGACTTGGCTCGAATAAAAGTCGGTGCGTTGTGTTAGAGCAGGGATAGATGAGGTACCGCGCGGGAGCTGATGGACGTGAAGTGTTGGACATAGTGCCGGCCACACTGGACGCTGTGTGTTGGCTCTCCTGGCGGTTGCAGCTATTACTGAGCCATATCTTACTCACGTTAAAAGAAAAGATTGGCAGATGAAGTATCTTCATTTCAAATTTCACTGAAAGGATCAGCTGCCTAGTGACCTCCTTTCTGGTTCTTGTTTCCTCAGTTGGGAGCGGAAAGTGCCGACAGCATTGGCGCCGTGTTGAACAGCAAAGAGGAGCAGAGAGAGATCGCCGAAACCAGGGAGACCTGCAGGTCTGTCAGGCAATTGTTTTACTGGCAGCTTAATGTTGTTTTACTAAAGTGATCCTCGGTATGAAGTGTTATGAAAGCACCAAAGCAAAGATTCCAGGGCCCTTGGTTTTACTGTTAGCTCACGAAGGATGAACCGCTGCTTTTCTGGCGGTAGGAAATGGAGTGTTACACTAAGGATTGGCTTATAGACCACAAATAAATAATTACTTTTTAAGTTCTTATAGAGGTAAACTGACTTTACCCTAAAAGTGATAATCATTTGATAGTTCACAAAGCATTTCAGAATTTTTCAGTATTCTAGTTACCAATTTGAGCACTAGTTTTGCTAGAGGGAGATTAGAATGATACGTAATTTAGAAGTTCTTCCTTGCCTTATATCCCTGTAACAACTGATTTTCTCAATAGTAGCCCTGCGCACAAATCAGCAAATCCATGCACCAATAGCTGTCTGCACCCTGGGCCTGCTGCCCGCCCTCCTGCAGCTCCCTGCCCCTCCATAGCTCGCTGCCTTGCCCCCTCCTGTAGCTCTCCTCCGCCTGCTTATAGCTCACTGCCCCACCCTCCTGCAGATTCGTGATCCGATCATTACGGAGTCGGTCACTACACCTCACGGCGTAATGGACAATCAGCATATTCCTCTCTTATTATGTAGGATTTGGTTGCTTACCAATCAAGTTTTGGGACTTTTTAGGTGATTTATAATCTAGGTTAATAGATACTGTTTAATCAGGAAAAACGTACTTCATTCTGTTTTTATTATGTTATTTCATGCTACTTGAAGCATTTATACATCTGTACATACTTGCGTGTGATGCGTCAGTTTTAATTTCCAGGGCATCCTATGATACCTCTGCTCCAAATGCGAAACGTAGGTCTCAGGATGAAGGAGAGACAGATGAGGACAAGATGGAAGAATATAAGGCAAGTGGAGACTTGGGCAATTTATTGGTCAAGAAAAAATAAGTTCTTCCGATAATAGATTCTTAATGAGGAGAATAAACTTGACCAAAAGCAGAATGTGACAGTGTCTAAAATAATTGTCATGCGTATAATATATGTGTAAGCATACGTATAATCAGTTAAATTAAGACTTTGTGTCACTTTCCTCATTTTTACACAAGAGTGTATGGATTAAACTAGGTGATGTACAGAAAGCACTTAACATAAAGCACTGGACAGTAATATTCTTAAATAACAGTAAGGAAGTAAGGAAGAGTGTCAGAAACTTTGGGTATTTAGATTAGATTTCTAAAAGCTACAATACTTTTTTTGTGTGATTTGTGTTACTCAATGTTAACAATATTGGCAGTACAATTAAAATATTTTGAAAATCCATGAGCTAGACAGCAGTGTAGAACCATTTCCGAAAGAGACCCAAACAAAAAAACCCAACTCGTAAATTTGTAATTGCAGTATTTACTTGAAAAGAAAGTACAGTGAAGAACCTATCTCCATTTCTGAAAGCTAATTGAACAGCTGTGTTTAGTACAGAAGAGCATGCACCGTTTCAGCCAGTCTCTAGGCCGTTCAGTGATACCAGTACCGAATCTTATTAATTCTGTCTTGTCTGTTGTGTTTTGGTGTATGTTAATATGTAGTTTAAATATTTGTGATTATTTCAGGTCAAACCATATGTATTTCCCAATATTTGGACAGTTTTGACCTGTAAAGGTAGATTCATGTAGTTCAGTGTAATAGAAATAAAATTGGCCCATTGGTGGCTATCTCTTTTGATTTAAGCTAAATTCTAATATTTATAGTATTATATTTGAGATCAAATAATTCTACACAACTTGGTCGACAAAACAAGTAACAGACTTTTATTGATGAAAGTTTTTATTTTATTATGAAAAGAATAAACTAGTTATACCCAATGATAAGAAAACAAAGATTTTAATGTTCCACTTTAACAATAATTGAGACGTTTATTATCACTAGGAAAATAAAACATGTATGTCTAGTCTTAATCAAGATCTAGTGATATTTGGACTGTTCCTTCTCTGCGTCTAATGTCTGCTGACCTCCGCTCCCAGGACGAGCCTGAGATGCAGCAGGAGGAGGAGAACCTGCCGTACGAGGAGGAGATTTACAAAGACTCCAGCACATTCCTCAAGGTCAGCCAGCGATTGAGACCATATAGTCCTTCACATTTCAGCTCTGTGCCTGCGAAGATTTTAAATACCTATTTGCTTTCGAGACTTTTTTTAGATATTAAGGAATCATTGTTATAAAATAAAGGTCATGTCAATCAACTTACATTTTATATGGCATCATAATAAAAAAACAAAGTGCAGAATTAGTATATCAGAGTGCATACTATTAATTTAATTTTGATTTTTCTTAGGGAACACAGAGTTTAAATCCTCATAACGATTACTGCCAGCATTTTGTAGACACTGGACATCGACCTCAGAATTTCATCAGGGATGTAGGTATGTCAGATGTGTTGGACTATTTAATTTATTTAACTTGCGGATTATTTCTAATTCGGGACTAATTCTAACTGGACTTGTTTACAAGGCATAGTCCATTAATTTAAGATCAGCAGCAGCATTTCATCTCTACTATTTCGTCTCTTCTTTACTTAATGATAAAAATGAAAGAATACTAATTTTTACTAGATTCTGTGAGATTTTTTTTTTCTCCAAAAGAGAGGGGAAAATGAGAGAGGCAGTTGTTTCCCCCTTTCTCAAGAAGAGACTGATTAAACTTGCTGTTACTAGCAGATTATTTAACTTAACAAGTAGGAGATATTGAATGGTTGGGGACTTGACCTTGGCTTCGGACATCTGGGCTCTATCTGCCTGTGGAGGGAGGGTCGTTAGAGATGAAATGGGTGCTGTTTTCCTGGGAGGCTCAGCACCTCTGCTCTGCATTAGCCTCAGTGTGACCTGTGCTTGCTGCCCACAGGCCTGGCGGACCGGTTTGAGGAGTACCCCAAGCTGCGGGAGCTCATCCGGCTGAAGGACGAGCTGATAGCCAAGTCCAACACTCCGCCCATGTAAGCATTTCCGGCCCTCCCTGTCCGCTCAGCGTCACGTCCGGCTTCCCGCCGGTGCGTTCCGGTCAGGATTACTCAGCACCACGTAAGCTTAACACCATTGTCCCTTCCTTATGGGAAAGGCATTCCTGTGAGACTCGGTGCTGAACACACAGTAGGTTCTCATTTAACTTGTTTTCAGTTTTTCAATAACTTTATTTTTTTCTTAGAAAATCATTCACGTTTATTGTGTTCTTAAGTTTGCTTAAAATGTTTTAAAATAGCTTTTCTTCTCAAAAAGTTTTTATTAAAGAAAATTTAGATGGGGGAAAGAAGAAAATTAAAATTAATAAAAACTTAGCATCCAGGGCTACTATGGACATTTTTGGGATATGGTAATTCATTTTAACCTTTGCTAAACAGAATAATGCTTTCCTTAAAAACGTGTATAAGGCCTTTGAAATTGGAGACTGTTTATTTCACACTTAGTTTACTTTGAACGTTTTATCAGTTTGCTGACATGAGCCTATGCATTAAAACAGTCACCAAGAAGTTTGAAGTTTGAGTATTGGGGGAAATGTTAGCAGACTTTAGTATTTATCCTATTTAAAAAGACTACAAATAAATAAATAAAACAAAAAGACTCTATATTTAAAGTATTTTATATTTAAATAGTTTATATACAAAATACTTCCACACTATGGAAATAACTTTTCCGTGAAGGCTAGTGCTAAATCACACTAAGTGGCCAGAGAATTTAGAAGCGCTTTTAGAGGGAGGAATCTAAGATGTACAGGGAATGGTGTTTCCAGACTAACTCACCCGCTAGACGGAAGCAGTGTGGCCTTCCCCAGAGTCTCAACTGGTGCTGGAGAGGGCGGGGTCTCACAGCTGAGCGTGGGTTTTAGGGTGGAAACGAGGCTGCGTGGGGAGTGGACTGCTTGGTGGCATGCATGTCCCAGGAAGGTGCTGTACACGCTGTGCGCACTGACGAGAGGCGAGGCCGCAGTGCTTCGCTCTTGACTGCTTGGGAATGGCGTCTAGTAACACTGGCGAACCTCTCACCTCCACCTGCAAGGTGCTCGAAGTCTCTCCTCACTCTGCTTTCCTCACGTAGGTACTTACAAGCAGACATTGAAGCCTTTGACATCAGAGAGCTCACCCCCAAATTCGATGTGATTCTTCTGGAACCCCCTCTGGAAGAGTATTACAGAGAGACCGGCATCACTGCCAATGAGAAGTGCTGGACGTGGGACGATGTACGTGAAATGCCGCCTTGTGCACGTCACCCTCCTGGCGTGGGTCACAGTGCAGATGGACCAGTACAGCTGTGGTGGCTGCAGCCTGAGGGACATTAACACGTATGACAAGGCCTTTAAGGCAGCAGTTGTGCAGGCAGTGAGTAGCTGGTCCGCAGGAGACCCAGCCTTAGGTGTGAGGCTGGAGGATGTGAAACGGTCCAAACAACCGGGAGCTGTCCCGCATGGGCCTTTGGTTCTGTGCGGTGAACACCAGAGAATAGATGTCTGTGTCAACATAGTGTCCACTCTGAGGAACTGACAGTGTAATGGATAAAAGGGATGAGTAATTTCAGTATAAAGTGTGATAAAGTATATTTTCCTAAAGAAAATTAAGCAAACTGATAACTTCTACTACAAAAGTTACGTGTTTGTTATCAATAACAAAAAAAACAGGTACTTCTTAAGTGCCACTGTGTTCAATGCAGTGCTGTGTTGGAGAGTCTTATAATAAGACTCAGTACTGAGATGTCCTTTTTCATTTTAATTTTGCCACCAATTTTGAGGTTAATTTAACCTGTTTTCATCTGTTCATTTTTCTGTAAATGTTAAAGGCTTGTTCTTAAGCTACAGCTTATGGAATTTTATAACTACTAGAGGCCCAGTGCACGAAATTCATGCACGGGGGAGGGTGTCCCTCAGCCCAGCCTGCACCCTCCCACTCTGGGACCCCTTGAGGGATGTCCGACTGCCCGTTTGGGCCCTATCCCTGAGCAGTGCATCGTATTGCAGGGATGGGGCCCAAACGGGCATTCGGACATCACTCTCACAATCCAGGACTGCTGTCTCCCAACTGCTTGCCTGCCTGCCTTCCTGATTGCTCCTAACCACTTCAGTCTGCCATCCTGATCACCCCTAACCACTCCCCTGCCAGCCTGATTGATGTCTGACTCCCCTGCCAGCCTATTTGCCCATAACTTCCCTCCTCTGCCAGCCTGGTCACCCCTAACTGCCTTCCCCTGCAGGGTTGATCGCCCCCAACTGCCCTCCCTTACCGGCCTGGTCCCTTCCAACTGCCCTTCCCTATGGCCATCTTGTGTCCACATGGAGGCAGGATCTTTGGCCACAGGGGGGCAGCCATCTTGTGTGTTGGAGTGATGATCAATCTGCATATTACTCTTTTATTAGATAGGATAGAGGCCTGGTGCACAGGTGGGGTTCAGCTGGTTTGTCCCGGATCAGGGTGGGGGTGCCCTTGGGGTGTGGGTGGCCTGGGTGAGGGGCCTGTGGTGGTCTGCAGGCCAGCCACACACCCGGGCGACCCAGTGGAGGCCCTGGTATCTGGAATTTATTTACCTTCTACAATTGAAACTTAGTAGCCTGGAGCAGAGCCAAGCCTCTGGTCACTCAGTGGCTGCCTCCATTTCTGTTGAAATTTATTTATCTTCTATAATTGAAACTTAGTAGCATTGAGTGGAGGCCTGGGCTGGCCAGGTTGTGAGGAAAGCTTGGCTTCCTCCATCACTAGGGAAACCCAAGCCTCCCTCCTGCTCTCTGTGGCTACAGCCATCTTGGTTGGGTTAATTTGCAAACTCACGTCTGACTGTATGGTGGGCATGGCTTGTCGGTATAGTGAAGTGGTGGTTAATTTGCATATTGCTCTTTTATTAGCTAGGGTGGCTTCCTGTAGCCTCTCCACATGAGTAGGTGTGCCTTTGTGCGTGTGCGTGTGTAGTCTTCTAAGGAGGGAACGGCGTGGAACAAGAGGCGATGGGTGAATGTTTCCCGTCATGCCCCTCGTTAAACGGAGCACCTCCAGCGGAAGTGCTCCTGGGACGAAGGGAAGCAGAGTTCTCAGCCCCTTGCTTCCATTTCTTCCAGATCATGAAGCTGGAGATCGATGAGATTGCCGCGCCGCGGTCGTTCATTTTCCTCTGGTGTGGCTCCGGGGAAGGGCTGGACCTCGGGAGAGTGGTAAGCCGTGCTTCCTAAGGCGGATCTTTAGGTTCACGAGAGAAAATGCAATACGATGCACTGCTCAAGGTCTTCGAAGACCGGTGTTTTGTCTTTTGTTTCTTGAATGGCAATGAAGTATTAAAAAGAAAAAACCATTCCGGAAAGAATGTGCGAAAGGCTGTACCTACCCTTACTTAGTTGACTGCAGTGGTCACCAACGGGTGGTCCGAGGTTCCGAAAGGTTGGTGACTGCTGGACCAGTACCAGGGTGACTGGAAACGGGGTTTATTCCGACTGCAGGAAGAGAGCAGGTTAGAGAATCAAAAACACGCCTGGTGTCCCTCACCACTCAGGAGTAGCCAAAAGGTGTTCTGAATTCCGCTAACTCCTCAGTTCCAAACAGAGTCAGATGGGATGGGGAAGGAGCACCGTGCCTGGGACCTGGTTTGAAGTGAACGGGAATGAACGGAGGTTCTAGCACCTCTGGATGTTTAGTGCCTTGTGTGCAGTTGCGGCTCATGTGTGGTGGGAGTATCCTGTCCAGTGGCTGTGTAATACAGACTAGAGTTCTTTTCCCCACGTCTGCACCAAAGCAGTCACACACACCTTGGAATTGGGCATTTCAGGCCGCTGGGAAGTGTTTAATGCTGGTTGGTTATTCTAAGTATGGTTTATTTCTTTAAGCTAAGGGTTTATTTAAATGTTCATTTCTAGTGTTTGCGCAAGTGGGGCTACAGAAGGTGTGAAGATATTTGTTGGATTAAAACCAATAAGAACAACCCTGGGAAGACTAAGACGTTGGATCCAAAGGCTGTCTTCCAGAGAACAAAGGTATGTTCTCTGCGATCTAGCCATCTTTACTTTTATGTTCTCACAATCATTTTTTTAATTTGTCATTATTTTCCAAATGTCTGCATATTGTTTAGTTAATTTTGGTGGAAAGGTCCTCTTCTTAGACTTGTACAAATGGCATTGAGCATTATAGGCAGACACCGAGTAAGTGTTTGCAGCCTAGCTGCTTACAGCGCCATACTGACTCAGGTGTGGAAATGGGGACTCGAGATTTACATTTGTTGCGCAGTGATCACAGGGAGGCATCGAGGATCAGTGACTGCGTCTCCATGTTGTTCGTCACTTTCCCGGACACACTCGTTGTACAGCTGGAAGGTTGTGCTCCCAGCCCCTCCCCTACTCCTCACCCCCCCCCCCCCCTCCACTGTCCCTCTGGCAACCACCAGTGTGCTCTGTGTCTGCATCTGTTTCTGTTTTGCTGAATTATTTTGGTCTTTAGATTCCACATACTGTGTAAGGGATGTTGTGGCATTTCTCTCTGAGTCCTTGCACTTAGTACTTTATGCTCCCTCTGGCTGCAGTGCCAGTGTGTGTTCCGTGCAGCTGTCTTCAGTCAGCCTGCCCCCCTCATCGGAGCCATTGAGGCAGGTGTTTCTTACTAAATAGATTTCCTTGGACTGGAGCATTCTTTCGAGGGAACCTCGGCCACCCATCCACTGTTGGTTCGTGGAACCACGTGAGAGGCTAGGTCTGTTCCACCCACACTCCTGCCATCAGCTGAAACAGAGGGTCTAACATAGTCTATGTTAGTAAATAACATGCCTCTGTCAAGTATTTGGAAGACTCTCCAGGCTTAAAGCCTCTTCTCCGTGTTCAGAGGCTTATGTCTTGTGTGTGGTTTTTATCTTGGACCATAGTAAGCCCAGTATAACATCATTTTATAGTTCAGAGGTCAAGTTTCATGTTTCCCTTCCTGTTGAAAACAGGTTCTGGTTAAGTTAGAGGGGAGAGACTCCGTGGTCGTTGACCCTGATCTGCAGTGTGGTGCCCCAGTCCAGTACTCTTGTCCCTCCCTGGCAGTCAGCCTCCCCGCACCAGGACCCAGGTTTCCTTGCTGTGTCGCCCACACGCCGGAGGACGAGCGTTGGTCAGGCAGAGGGACGTGGGGCGGGCGGCTGAGCGGGGTCAGCGGTGAGGAACGCGGCTCTCCTCGCTGCCAGGAGCACTGCCTCATGGGCATCAAAGGGACCGTGAAGCGCAGCACCGACGGGGACTTCATTCACGCCAACGTGGACATCGACCTGATCATCACGGAGGAGCCGGAGATCGGGAACATAGAGAAGCCCGTGGAGATCTTCCACATCATCGAGCACTTCTGTCTGGGGAGGAGGCGCCTGCACCTGTTCGGAAGAGACAGCACAATCCGGCCGGGTAAGACCTCAGGAGGAGAAAGGAGCCTGGCCGCCTGGGAGGCAGGCGGCAGGACCCGCCTGCAGGGCTGGGGCGGGGAGGGCTGCCAGGCGGTGCCTCCCTGGCTGCTCAGGTCTGCCGGCTCTCCCGGCCTCTCCTGCTGCAGCCTTCTGACCCAGCAGCCTCCTCCACTCCCCCTCAGCCCTGGGCCCGCCTGTGTTCTGTCTCCTCCGTCACTCACATCACTGAACTGTAGATGCAGTTAACTGGCCGCACGCTGGGCCAGTCCCGGGAGGCTCCCTCCTCCCCGGCGCAGGGCCCTCGGTGTCTGTGAATGGAGACGCACAGTAAACGGCTGGGTGTCCTGCAGGAGACCCCGTACCTCTGTGCGATCCGGGCGTGGCTTTATTAGAGACTGACACCGCTGTCTCCTTACGTGGGTGGTGGTGGCATCTTTTCAGAACCTGACTAATTCACTGCAGGGAATTCACTGTTTAAAAACGAGACTGGAAAACAATTCGGCATTAGGGACGCTCAGGTTCGGCTGCAAATGGGACCACACAGGCCTCATGCCCAGAAGGGGCACAGCTTTCCCTGCTGTTCTTCTCTTCCAATCTTTACACTTCCATGCGGATGATGTTGTTCACACGTGAACGGGATTGCACGGAAATGGCGGCTGCGTTGTGGAATGTGATCCCGGTAAACCCTGCATTCTGCAGCATTTAGGATGGTCTGCTATCCTGAGAAATGAGCGTGAGGGGGATGGGGCAGGCTGCTGTGACGAGCGTCCCAGCTGGGACCTGATTCATGGGGATCACCTGCCCTGCGCTGGGGACCCCAGGCCGGAGCCCTCAGAGCAGATTCCAGTCTCTTCCCAGAAACGCGTCCTGGAAGCCAGCCCCACAGCGTGCGCCCGCCCGCTGGGCAGCACAGTCTGTGGCCTCCGCTCAGTGCTCCCCCGGGAGGCAGCCACCGGGCTGGGCACAGCGGTCCTGCGGGGCCGGCGGGGCCTTGGACCGGGGGCTGAGGGGGGGGTGAGGGAAGCGGCTGAGCGCTCCTCTCCTCTGAAGGGGCTGTGGGCTCATGGGCGGGAAGAGGTGTGATGGGAAGGAGGTGCGGGTGAGAGGGCTGGGCAGTGAGAGGGCTGGGCCGGGGTGAGTGAGGCTGCCCTGTCCTCCGCAGGCTGGCTCACGGTGGGGCCCACGCTGACCAACAGCAACTACAACGCGGAGACGTACGCGTCCTACTTCAGCGCCCCCAACTCCTGCCTGACGGGCTGCACCGAGGACATCGAGCGGCTGCGGCCCAAGTCACCCCCGCCCAAGTCCAAGGCCGACCGGGGCGGCGGGGCCCCCCGGGGCGGGGGCCGAGGAGGAGCCGCCGCGGGCCGCGGGCGGGAGCGGAACCGGTCCAACTTCCGCGGGGAGCGAGGCGGCTTCCGGGGAGGGCGAGGCGGGGCGCACCGCGGGGGCTTCCCGCCCCGGTAACCGGCCTCCCGCCCCAGAACCGGGCCGCTCCAGCCTTTGTCTCCCGCGCTGTGGCCGGGCTCTGTGGGGGCAGCTCTGAGCAGCAGTCACTCCCGTGGCCGCCACGCACTGTCTAGCTCTGCAGGCGGCGCCCCCCCCCCCCCCAGTCCAGTCCTGGACCCCGGGACGAGCAGCACAGCGCCTTCCGCCCAGGCGTGGGCTGGGCCCTCTGCGGTGGACGTGGGAATGGACGCGCCTGGGCGCCGTCTGCAGCCTCCGCAGCAGTGGCAGGTGAGCTGCTACACACAACAGACATTTTTCTTTTTTAAAAACCTTAGACTCCGATAGAATCCACCTGCAGAAGCAACGGAAAGACAATAAAATGGCCTCCCACAGCGGAATCTGCTCCCGCGGAGCTGACGCGGACCCGGACCCGGGACCCGGCCTCCGGGCGCAGACAGGCCCGGCCGGTGCGGTGGGCGGCCCGCGACCTCCCGGCCCGCCGCTCGGACCCGGGAGGCCGCCTCCTGCCGGGGCCAGGGCACCAGGCGCTTCGTGTGGAGGAAGCAGCTGGACCGCTGACGCCGGCAGGAAGGAGCCACTCTGGCTGCGCTGGCGTTCCCACAGCCTGACGGCTTTAACGAACTTCATGAATGAAATGTTCTTACAAATGCCTTTTATTTTGTTAGGTTTTCTAATAAAAGCTGAAACCTCCGGTGCCGACGTTTATCTCCCTGTCTGTGCCCGTCTCCCGGCGGTGGGCTCTTCCCCGCACACTCGCTCCCGGCCCCCTCCTGTGCAGCCCGGCAGGGCCGAGCTGGGGCACCGGCTGGACCGCGGGGGAGGACACCACACCCATCTCTGCTGAAATGGCCCGTGGAGACAGCGGTGCAGAGCGGTCAGGGCGGGTCACGTGGGCGATCGGGTCCGCAGTGAACGGAGCGAGCCGCTCGCCTGTGAGCAGAAGCTCCTCCGGCCGCGAGTGCGCGTGGGGAGGGACCCACCGGCGGAGGTGTGTGTGTGGGGGCGCCGTGCCTGCGCCTCCCCTCCTCCTGCCGCGGACCACGTCCTCCCTGCCTGCTGGTCGGTTACCGCAGCCGTTAGCACTGGAGACCGGCATGTGCTCCTGGGTTTAGGAACGTGGTCTTCCAAGTTATAGGTCCAGATTTTACTGGTTTGTCTAACAGTCGTATTGACAAAGTGATGGCGGGCGGGACGCATTGTTAGAGCTTTAATCTGAGTCACGTTTGTGTGGCTGCTTAGCACCTGGCGCACAGCCGGCCTCAGAGCCGCCCCGCAGGCCGGGCTCTGGTGCCCGGTGCCGGCACCGGCCTCAGCGGAGAGCTGTGCACCGGCCTCCCCACAACGCCGTCCACTTCCCCTCTGGGACCCTCCCTTGGGCTCACGGTCCCTCGGAAACGCTGCCTCCCGGAGCTCGGACAGCCCCAAGCCGTCCCGGTGCCCACACTCGGGCAGGTGGCGGGTCTGGCTAGAGGCGCTGGCACCGTGAGGTCAGATTCGGTAGGTTTTTCCAAAGACGACGTGACTGAGAAGGTGGGCACAGGAGCACCCATGGGCAGAGAGCGTGAGGTGGGCCGGGGGGAGTGTGATAGGGTCACAGAAGGAGCATTCACTGCTCTCCCCGTTCTCCCGTTTGTCCTGTCTGTGTTGTCCCCACAAGGGGTGTTCTCGCTCCTCTAGGAGAGGGGAACGCCTAGCACCTCAGTCAACGGCGATGGCCCCGGGGCTGGAGCCCGGCCTGAGGCGGGTGCAGACGGAGCACTCACCCTCCTGCTCAAGTCCCCCTCCCACTGGGTCCCCCTCCCGCTGGGGTGGGTCCCCCTCCCCTCCCGCTGGGGTCCCTCCCGCTGGGGTCCCCCTCCCTTCCTGCTGGAGTCCCCCTCCCCTCCCGCTGGGGTCCCCCTCCCGCTGGGGTCCCCCTCCCGCTGGGGTCGCCCTCCCGCTGGGGTCCCCCTCCCACTGGGGTCCCCCTCCCGCTGGGGTCCCCCTCCCGCTGGGGTTGCCCTCCTGCTGGGGTCCCCCTCCCCTCCCGCTGGGGTCGCCCTCGCGCTGGGGTACCCCTCCCGCTGGGGTCGCCCTCCTGCTGGGGTCCCCCTCCCGCTGGGGTCCCCGCGGGAGGTGAGGTCTGAGATGTTCATGGAAATCCGTGCATTTGCCTCATGGAACTGCACTGATGAAAACTACTTTTGCTGAAGGCTGCTCGCACTTTGTACGTTCTGCCCTGTAAACACCACGTGACCAGGTTTGCGAGGAGAGGGAGCAGCGGTCGCTGGGGCAGGACCGTCCCCTGTGCGCACACGGTGGCAGCCGCGGGCGCACCTCTCCTGCCCCGCAGGGGGTTCCCGCCGTCTGAGCAGAGGAGGAGTCGGGACAGTTGTGCTCAGAGACGCCCACAGCAGTTCCTGTTCCTGTGGTGATGCCGCCGAGCTCGCGCTCCCGTCCGGCGCTGGCTCCTCTGACAGGCGTGCAGAGGCACACTGGGGCAGGCAGCACACTTCACCGCGAGGGGCACGGAGCTGCAGTGGGCGGAGGGGAGGGCTGTCCGAAGCGGGGCTCCTGTGCGTGCTCACGGAGCCCAGATCAGAGCTCTCGCCCTGGCCAGTAGCTGGGTTGGAGAGCATCGTCCCGACGCACCAGCGTGCCGGGTTCCATCCCCGTCAGGGCACACACAGGAAGCAACCCACGAATGGGTAACGGACAACACATCAGTTCAAAAAGGTGAGAGCTTACTTCTCTACTGTTCTGTTTTATTGAAATAGGATTTCTAAAGCACTGGGAATGGCTAAAATATTGTCTTTAAAGCAACTTTACGTATAAAAATAATTCTAAAGCAAAATTTTAAGAAATATAAGCTCAAATGCCAGCTTTTCAGCCAACTAAATCCCTGAATTTTAAGTCCCGCAGCTCCTGGGCTGGTGCTGACAGGAAGGGGGTGGCCTCAGGGCTGGGGGGTCACTCCCGGGGAAGGCCGCCAGCACAGCCAGTGCTGCCCGCCGCCTCCTGGGGCCTGAGGGTGACCGGCCCGCGGACTGGGCAGTTCCTGGGGGTGACTGTAACGCGGGGCTTTTTGCACACTAGAGTTTAATGTTGTGAAGTCAGTCTATGGGCGAAGTCTCATTTCCCCTCATTCATAAACGTAGTCTTTTTGTCAAACAGGCATTAAACCCCACAGAGTATCCTAAAGCTGATTTCTTCAAACAGGGTACTGGCTTTGTTTTTAAAAATACATTTTTATTTTATTGATTTCAGAGAAAGGGAGGGGGAGAGAGAGAGAAACATCAATAGAGTGTCACTGATCAGCTGCCTCCTGCCCGCCCCTTACTAGGGACTGAGGCCTTAACCTGGGCCTGCGCCCTGACCAGGAATCAAACCTGACCTCCTGGCTCATGGGTCAGTGAGCAACCACAGAGCCATACTGTTTTTTAAAGAAAGCTTTTCATGGCCCAAAGAATACCAAGATTTGAAAAATTACATAAAAAAGACTGGCTTAATAAACTAAAGCCTTAGTCTATAAAAGGTATTACAATGGAAAATTCTTATTTGTAAAAGTTTTATATTGGTGGCTAAACTGGTAACACCTTCAAAAATATTGTCAAGAGAAACCTGTGCAGCTCACCCTGCAGCCGCGCTGCAAGGACAGGGCCTGGGCTCGGCTCTCCCCCACATCGCCGTTTCCTGTGACTGACCCGGGGCCGGTGTGCTCGGCGTGGGCGCGGGCGCTGGGAGCGTGCCGAGGACACGCTTCGGGCCGGCATTCCCGGCCAGACAAGACGCCACGGCGGTGGTGTCCTCTGAACCATCTGAAGCTGCCATCGAGTGGAGGTAGACTCACCTGTGGGCTCCGCACACACAGGAGACGCGGCTGGTAGAACCTTCTAGCACAGCTGGTCTGCATGGCTGCTCAGCCTGCCTTCAGCGGGCCGAGCGCCCTGGAGGTGGCGCTGGGGATCCCAGCCTCTCGTGTCCGGTGTCAGCCTAGCCAGCATCCCCGCCTGTGTTTGCAGCAACCCAAGTGCAGGTGCCAGCTCTCCCCAAGCACTGCCTTTTCTCCCACCCGCTTTGGGGGCGGGTTCAGACACGGCAGCCGCAGTGCCTCCTCTTGGGCACAAGTTCCGGTCCAGATTATCTTTCCGCCTTCAGACACACCATCTAAATGCTTCCTTTGCTCTTTATTGCTTCAGGAATGGAGAAACATGTTTCCATCTGACCAGACAGTAAACAAATGAACATTGATTCCTAGCGATTCTGTCTGTCACTGGGCTCTTCCAGACGCAGGCGGTGCGGGAGCGGCCCCCGCACACGTGCACTGCCTGGCCCGCGGCCCCCGAGCCCCTACGGGGGCCTCTGCCGAGCAGGGCACAGGCCTGGCTGAGTCACCGCTGCTCAGAGGCGCTCAGCACCGCACGGGACCCACGAGGACTGCGGACGCCTGTGCAGAACAGACGCGGGGACGGTGGTACCGTATACGATACGTAATCTTGAAAAAATGAAGAACACAGGTGGTTCTAATAGATCCCAAGGTCATTAAAAGTCTGCTATGCAAACCTCAAGTTGAAAAATGTGTTCAGTGGGGTTACATGATTCTAAAAAATATAATGTAAAAATTAAGTTTTCCCCCTTGTTACAAATGGGAGAGGAGCCAGGACAAGTTTTACCCCAATCTGTACACGTGGAAAATAATTTATGTGTGCAGCAGAGGGAGCGGGTGTGGGCAGCCCGGTGACAGCGGCCGTGGCGCGGGCCCGCGGCGGGCGGCCGGGCAGACGGTCCTCGGGGGCGAGCGGCCTCCTCGCTCCCCGCTGAGCACCGCGCCGACTCAGGGCGCCCGAAACCGCGGGGAGTCGGCGGAGGCGCGGGCCAGCGCCGGCCTCAGTTGAGCAGCTGGCAGACGGCCTTGTGCAGGCAGCACAGGAAGTCCATGTAGGACGGCGCCCCGTCCAGCCCCTTGTCCTCCACCAGCAGCTGCCGGAACGCCATCTCCGGCTGCTCCCGCTGCTTCACGATCACCAGCTGGGAGACAGACAAGGCAGGTTACCCTCTCTCTGGGCTCAGTTCCTGTGTCCCCTCTATGTCCCCTCCCCCAAACCCCCGTGTCCCTGAGGCCTGGGGGTGAGGGCAGTGCCAGGTCCACACCAGGCGGGAAGTACAGCAGAGAGCCATCTGCCGGGCTTCCCCGCCGCCCTGCCCGCAGCCCGCGGCCCATCCCCGAGCGTGGGGAGGGCTGACGGGGGGGCTGAGGGGGGCTGTGTGGGGAGGGCTGTGTGGAGGGCTGAGGGGAGGGCTGAGGGGGCTGTGTGGGGAGGGCTGAGGGGAGGGCTGACGGGAGGGCTGAGGGGGCTGTGTGGGGAGGGCTGACGGGGGGGCTGAGGGGGGCTGTGTGGGGAGGGCTGACGGGGGGGCTGAGGGGGGCTGTGTGGGGAGGGCTGTGTGGAGGGCTGAGGGGGGGGCTGAGGGGGGCTGTGTGGGGAGGGCTGAGGGGGGCTGTGTGGGGAGGGCTGAGGGGGCTGTGTGTGGAGGGCTGAGGGGGCTGTGTGGGGAGGGCTGAGGGGGGCCGGGTGTATGGGGAGGGCTGAGGGGAGCTGTGTGGAGGGAAGGGCTGAGGGGAGCTGTGTGGGGAGGGCTGAGGGGGGCTGTGTGGGGAGGGCTGAGGGGGGCTGTGTGGGGAGGGCTGAGGGGGGCCGTGTGTATGGGGAGGGCTGAGGGGGGCTGTGTGGGGAGGGCTGAGGGGGCTGTGTGGGGAGGGCTGAGGAGGCTGTGTGGGGAGGGCTGAGGGGGCTGTGTGGGGAGGGCTGAGGGGGCTGTGTGGGGAGGGCTGAGGGGGGCCGGGTGTATGGGGAGGACTGAGGGGGCTGTGTGGGGAGGGCTGAGGGGGCTGTGTGGGGAGGGCTGAGGGAGGCTGTGTGGGGAGGGCTGAGGGGGCTGTGTGGGGAGGACTGAGGGGGCTGTGTGGGGAGGGCTGAGGGGGGCCGGGTGTATGGGGAGGACTGAGGGGGCTGTGTGTGGAGGGCTGAGGGGGCTGTGTGGGGAGGACTGAGGGGGCTGTGTGGGGAGGGCTGAGGGGGGCCGGGTGTATGGGGAGGACTGAGGGGGCTGTGTGGGGAGGGCTGAGGGGGCTGTGTGGGGAGGGCTGAGGGGGCTGTGTGGGGAGGGCTGAGGGGGGCCGGGTGTATGGGGAGGACTGAGGGGGGCTGGGTGTATGGGGAGGACTGAGGGGGCTGTGTGGGGAGGACTGAGGGGGCTGTGTGGGGAGGGCTGAGGGGGGCCGGGTGTATGGGGAGGGCTGAGGGGGCTGTGTGGGGAGGGCTGAGGGGGCTGTGTGGGGAGGGCTGAGGGGGGCCGGGTGTATGGGGACTGAGGGGGCTGTGTGTGGAGGGCTGAGGGGGCTGTGTGGGGAGGGCTGAGGGGGGCTGTGTGGGGAGGGCTGAGGGGGGCTGTGTGGGGAGGGCTGAGGGGGCTGTGTGGGGAGGGCTGAGGGGGCTGTGTGGGGAGGGCTGAGGGGGCTGTGTGGGGAGGGCTGAGGGGGCTGTCTGTGGCTCCATAGGGGAGCACGGAGGGCGGAGGAGGCTCGCTCCGGGCGGTGGGCTGCTGGCACCGGAAGGCCCTCTCTGCGGAAGGCGGGCGGCGGGGATGCGGCTGTGCAGCTGGGACGGGTGTCCCCGCCGTGCCCTCTGACCCCAGCCCTCCCCCTGTGACAGGAGACCCCCTTTGTCCGCGTCTCCTGGGGGTCAGGGTCCGGGGAGCAGCGTGCTCAGGGCGGGGCTCCCCTGCCATCACTGGGTCTTGTCCTAAACTGAACCCAGCAGAGCTGTGTGGAGCGACACTGTTCTGGAAAGTTCTGTGTTCACCTGCAGCTCTCCCTGCGTTTACTGGTGCGAGGCACCTGGCCCAGGGGACAGCCTGAGCGCGGGCTGGGCCGGGAGCTGCCGCCGGCGAGCTGTCCGGCGGGCCGGCCTGTCACCGGGCGAGCCGCAGGGGCCTGGGCTGGAGGGCCGGGTGCTGGCACTCGGCAGCACATCTCCCGGAGCAGAGCCCGTGCAGCCCTTCGCTCGTTCTCAGAAGGCCGAGAGCTCAGGGGCCGGACAGACGCGGCAGAGGTCAGGACTGAAGTCAGAGAAGGAACTCTGCCCGTGTCCTGACGAGGCTCTGACTGGCCTCCGAATGCCCCGGCGCTGAGGACAGCATCGCAGACTGACCAAGCGCCCGCCGCCCAGGCGTCGGTGAGGGCTTGTCCTCTCAGGGCGGGCCAGGCGGCGGCCGTCCATGCCACGCGTGGCGGCTGGTGGGCAGGCGGACGTCCTGAGAGGAGAGCTGCCTGTCCTGACCCCGCAGCACGCGCGTTGGAGTCTGTGCGTTAACTCGGAGCCTGGGAGGCGCGGCCTGCTCACCTTCATGGAGTGCGGCCTCCTCCGCTGGAGCGCACCCACGACGGCCCGGAGCGCCTGCGAGTGCGGGCTCCCCACCTCGGGCAGCACCGTCTGGGGGAAGGACATCGGTCAGACAGTCAGGTACTTGGTAACACTGGTGCAGAGGCAGCAGGGAGAGCTTTAGGATCTAACGTTAAAACACCCGCTAACCCAGGCAGTTCACACTGACTTCGTTCATTTACCCAAACATCACAAATGTGAACAGTGCTGAACAGCCTCACCCTGCGGCTCACCTCCCAGCGGCTGTGCTCGGCCTCACTGACCCCCGACCTCACTGACCCCCAGAGGCTGTGCTCGGCCTCACTGACCCCTGGGGGCTGTGCTCGGCCTCACTGACCCCCGGCCTCACTGACCCCCGGAGGCTGTGCTCCGGCCTCACTGACCCCCGGCCTCACTGACCCCCAGAGGCTGTGCTCGGCCTCACTGACCCCTGGGGGCTGTGCTCGGCCTCACTGACCCCCGGCCTCACTGACCCCTGGGGGCTGTGCTCGGCCTCACTGACCCCCAGCTGTGCTCCGGCCTCACTGACCCCTGGGGGCTGTGCTCGGCCTCACTGACCCCCGGCTGTGCTCCGGCCTCACTGACCCCCGGGGGCTGTGCTCGGCCTCACTGACCCCCGGCTGTGCTCGGCCTCACTGACCCCCGGGGGCTGTGCTTCGGCCTCACTGACCCCCGGCTGTGCTTCGGCCTCACTGACCCCCGGCTGTGCTCGGCCTCACTGACCCCCAGCTGTGCTCCGGCCTCACTGACCCCCGGGGACTGTGCTCCGCCTCACTGACCCCCGGCTGTGCTCCGGCCTCACTGACCCCCGGCTGTGCTCCGGCCTCACTGACCCCCGGCTGTGCTCCGGCCTCACTGACAGTTTATGAAGAGGACGCAGGACCCTGTGGCTCTCCCAAGTCTGGAAACGACCATGGGGGCGCCACGGCTCCACATGACACCCAAACACTTTCTCTGGGGAGGGTGGCCTCCCAGAACCCCTCCGCGGGTGGATGTCACAGAACGCATTGTGTGGGCTGGAGCTCTGTCCGGGACAGAGAAGCTGCCTGCTCACCAGCCAGAGCCCGGAGTGCAGCCGTCCTGTGAGCGTGCCGCAGTCACACACGCCAACCCACGGGACTGTAAACGGCAGAAACTCGCCTGTCAGTCACAGGCCACCTCCCACATGTATCATGGATGTTAAGGTGGAGCCTTATTCACCAGGTTACACGTGGTGAGGGTACCCGTGTGCATGGCTCGAGGCGTCAGCTGCCCTACGGAGAGCGGCAGGTGTGCTGTGTGCACTTCTGACCAGGCTGAGAGGAGGCAGGTGGACACGAGCAGGCCCGCCAGGCGTGCTCTCCGTGGGGGCTGGCGACTCATGCACGCTCATCAGCAGGTGCCCTGACAGTCACTGCTTCAGCGCACTGCGGAAGGGGAGGTGCTTCCACCCTGGCCTGTTGGCTCAGTGGATAGAGCGTTGGCCTGCAGACCAAAGGGTCCCGGGTTCGATTCTGGTCTAGGGCACATACCAAGGTTGCAGGCTCCTCCCCCTCCCGGGCCCTAGCTGGTAGCATGCAGGAGGCAACCAATCAAACACATCCATGTTTCCCTCGGTTCCTCTCTCTTCCACTCTCGCTAAAAATCAATGGAAAAATATACTCGGGTGAGGATTAAAATAAATAAATAAAGACTTAAAAAAAAGTAGAGGCACTTCCTCTGTTTCATAGAAACATTCTTGAGATTCATAGAGTTGTCTACCTACTGAATTTTTTTAAAATTTTACTTTTTTGGAAATAGCATTTCTAATCATTCCTTAATTTCAACCCCACGCAGATACCTTTCCATTTTTCTAAATCTTCACCTTTATCTTAGAACTGGCCTCTGAAGGGGATACAGCCCTTTGACTCCCTTAAAGCTCTGCTGCCTCCTCCCAGCCTCCGCCCGGGGCGGGCGCTGCCCTCAGACAGCAGGTGGGCGCAGACCCTGGCTCGCAGGAGCCGCCAGGAGCGCACGGGCAGCGGAGCGCCTGAGGTTCCTGGTAAATGGCCTCAGTCAAGGTGCACCTCACAGCCCCGTGCTCCCTCCGCGGGGACCTGCCCAGGGGCCGTTTGGGGAGTGTTGCTTGCAATGCGTGGACCTGCGATGCCTGCAGCTGAGCGGGAGGAAGATTTCTGCCCGTTAGACGTGCGGTTTGCTCCAGGTGAGCCCGCAGCCAAGAAGGACCCGCCCTGGGAGCCGAGCCCGGCCCAGCGGAGCCTTCACTGAGGTGCTGCTCGGGCAGCGACGGCCACGGTGAGCGCTCGGGCCGCTGGCAGCTCGGCTCACGGCACGTGTTCTGTTCGCTTGTCTAACACTTGCCACGAACGACTGTACAGCAGCTAAGAGTTATCCGCCAAACACGCGATGCCCTCGTCCTCACGCAGAACCACCTGCCCGTGCTCTGTACACGGGCTGCACGTGAACAAAGCACCTAACGGAAGGACGCTCACCAAGTCCGCGCTGACGTGCGCCAGGGACGGCACGCTGAACAGCCCCTGGATGAGCTCGGGCGGGCAGCTGGCGCCCAGCCACAGGAACAGGCGCAGCCCGTCCGCCAGCAGGAACACGCCCTCTTCGGAGAGACGGGCCTCCGAGCAGCGGACGGCGGCAGGCACCGCGGGGCTGGGGCTCTGGGCGGCCGCCGTGTGCTGGGCAGACAGAGGCGAGAGCTAGAAACACGTCCTCCTCCCTGCCTCTCCCCGCCCTCCTCCTCTGCCTCCTTCTCTCCCCCTCCCCCTCCCATCCTGGGGTGCTCTCCCAGCTGGAACTGGCCTTCACAGGACAGTGCAGGGGCAGCCCAGACGATAGGGCCGGCTGCAGAGAAGCAGAAGGCACCGCCACACACGCAGGCCCCTCACACCCTGGCCTCCGGGCAGGCCGCTCAGTGCGTGCTGACGGGGTGCGGTGACTGAGCCCACGGACACACGTGTGTGAGGCCCCACGGCACAGCAGGAGTCGAATGCTCTCGGGTCTCAGCACCGCCTTTCCAACCTCCTCCCCCCCCCCCCCCCCCCGGGCGGGGCCCCGCCCGCCCGCAGGCGCTCACGATGGGCAGGAGCTGCGGGTAGAAGAAGAGCTGCGAGTCAGCCACGCCCATGGTCATGACCAGCTGCTGCTGGAATGCCCGCTCGTCCGTGGGGGTGTCGGGCCGGCCGAGCAGCACGCAGCTCTTGAGCAGGGAGTTCACGTACACCGGCAGCACCTTCATGGAGTCCGGCAGGATGAGCTGGAAGAGAGGCACTGTCAGAGTCCACCCTCGCCCAGCCCACTGCATACGCGGCGGGAACGGAGCCGTCCGGGCCCCTCCCGCACGGCCTCGCATCAGGAGAGACAGCGTGCCGAGTGACAGCCAGCGCCAGCGCTGTCTGGCTGTGAACTCCTGAGCTTCCCTTCCCACCTTAACCATGAACACGGTCCACCCAATGGCACACTCTCTGGCACTAAGGTCTGACGTTGGCATAAAACACCGCACCCCCATCCTCAGCTTGCTGGTCCCCCGAGTCCTGCACCTGCGGGCTCACCTGGCTGGCGGCGGACGGGCTGGCGCAGTGCTTGCGGTAGCAGGCCAGCATGTGCGAGGTCTGGTTGACCAGGATCTCCCGGATGAGCTTCAGGGGCTGGTGCAGAACCGCCTTGAAAGCTGCGGCACAAGCAGAGCAAGGTGCGTTTCCGCTCAGAAACGGATCCTTCACACAGAACAGAAACAAAACTGCTCCCCGTGGCCACACAGCGACGGCAGCCTGTGAAGCGGCAGCTCCTTGGCCAGCACCGCCTGACCCAGCAGGACGCACCGCCCAGAGCACACCGGCCCACAGAGGCCGGGACGGTCCGACCGCCCCAGAAAGTCCACACCCAGAGAGCGCTCCGCTGCCGGCACCCTGGTTCCTATGCTGGACGCGGTTTCTCCTAAACCCTCGTTAGACTCTCCTCTGGGATTGGGGGCAGGGGTGGGGGTGGGGGAGGAGGAGGGACACAGGGAGCTCCACCCGGGCCTCTGCCGTTTCGCAACCCCGTGGTGTGCAAGCCCGTCGGTGCGGTCAGGGGCCATCTGCACTGTCCCGAGAGCCAGGGGGACACGCACTCAAGGAGGCCGAGCACCATGTCCACACGTTCAACTCAGAGCAGGAGGGAAACGGAGGCTGCCCCGGGGCTGCCCCTCGGCCCCGGAGTCCTGCCTTAGAGATGCTGGCTGCCTCCTTCCCCTTTGTGCGCGTGGATCCCGAGTTTACCCACAAGCCGCTGCACCAGCACAGCTGTGCCTACTGCTACGAACTTGACAGCCGGGATGGAAACTTAAACAAGGGATGCCGTTGTGGCGTGTCCTGTGTAGCCAGGCCCGAGGTGGTGCCAGGACGGTCCCGTCCTCGTTCCCTGGCGCGGCAGCAGAGCTGCCCGCGGCTCAGCACCCGTCAGGGCATCGGACAGTCGCAGGTGGTTCAAGCCCCGGGGAGGGCGCGGGGAGGTATGCAAACACTCTGCGTCTGTGTGTTTGCACGCCGCCTGGAGCAGCCTGGGCTTGGTAGCCGGGAACCTGAACCGCCCGTGCGGGGCCCTGGCCTGGGCGGGCAGGCCGAGCTCGCTCACCAGACTTGGCGAAGAAGTTGACCAGGGCGTCCGTCTCGCAGCTCTTGTAGACGTCGGCCAGCTGCGCGCTGCAGCTCAGGGCCAGGTTGTGGATGCGCAGCCTCCGCTGCCCCCCGATGGTGGTGTAGAGCACGGCGCACTGCGGGGCACAGGGAGGTCACAACACGACCCCCCAGCCCGCCCTGGCAGTCTCGGGTCCTGGCTGAAAGGCCCCCTCCCCCCCAGCTGCGTCTATGACAGCCGAGGGAGAGGAAGCGGCCATGCCCGGGCTTCCCGCAGGGTTCCGGGAGAAGCCACATTGTAATCAGGCTTCCCAGCAGCCCACACCTCCACTCATCCCCACGGCTCAGACCCCATCGCAGGGACGGGAGAGCTCACCTCCTGTCCTGTGGCCTCCGCACCCTCCCTAGGAGCGTGCCGCGGTGGAGCTCAGGTTCACGCCCAGCGAGCAGCAGAAGCACCCTCCCCAGAGGCCGGCACCCTCCCCAGAGGCCAGCACCCTCCCCAGAGGCCGGCACCCTCTCCCCAGAGGCCGGCACCCTCCCCAGAGGCCGGCACCCTCTCCCCAGAGGCCGGCACCCTCTCCGCAGAGGCCGGCACCCTCTCCCCAGAGGCCGGCACCCTCCGCAGAGGCCGGCACCCTCCGCAGAGGCCGGCACCCTCCCCAGAGGCCGGCACCCTCCGCAGAGGCCGGCACCCTCCCCAGAGGCCGGCACCCTCCCCAGAGGCTGGCACCCTCTCCCCAGAGGCCGGCACCCTCTCCCCAGAGGCCGGCACCCTCCCCAGAGGCCGGCACCCTCCCCAGAGGCCGGCACCCTCTCCGCAGAGGCCGTGGTTCAGCCTGAGCGTCAGGGAGCTTCTCCTCCGGAAGGCCGGCCTCGCTCCACGGTGACGCTGGTGTGGAAGCGGGGACCCTGAGACTCATGTCTCTGTTTTAATTCCCTGTCTCCGGCTCCAAGCCAGTCTTCCTGACCACCATGCCCAGTCCCACTGGCGCTTGCTCGGAACACCCGGGCGGGCAGCGGTGCTGACCCGGCCTGCCGATGCGGCTCTCGGGCAGCGACGTGATCGCTGCGGATAGACAACGGGAGCACGGGGAGCAGAGCCTCTGGGGAAGGAGCGGTCCCTGAGACCGCCCGAGGGCAGCGTCCCCGCCGTCAGGCGCTAACAGCAGGCGGGAAGGGAGCCGCACCTGGATCAAGGCCCCGCTGTCTTCGCCCAGCTTGTCGTCGTGCTTGAACTCCACGGTCACCGCCTTGTCGCAGTCGATGGCCGCCATCTCCACGTCGGTCGTATTGTTCATGACGATCCCTCCAAAGAAGTCAGTGGCCCGGAAACCTGAGGAGGGGGGAGGGCGCGGCGTCTGTCACCGTCTCCCCGGCCGCCGTGACCTCGAGGGGGACGCACAGGCCCGGAGGCCGCGAGGGGCGAGTACCTGTGCTCGTGCGGACCCGCATGATGGCGTCGAAGCCGATCTTCTTCTCCACGTCGTTGCAGAGGTCGGTGAGGAACTGCTGGCTGTCCGCGTGCAGCTGCGGAGGGAGGTGTGAGCCATGCCCACCAGAGGGCAGGGACACACAGCAACTGGTTTTACAATCTTAGCTCACACCTGCTTTACCCAGAAATCTTAGAAAGGATTCCTAAAGCTTTTTCAAAACTATATTTTCATTGATTTCAGAGAGGAAGGAAGAGGGAGAGGCAGAAATATCAGTGATGATGAGGGAGAATCTGTGATTGGCTGCCTCCTGCATGCTCCCTATTGGGGATCGAGCCTGCAACCTGGGCATGTGCCCCTTGACCAGAATCGAACTCGAGACCCTTCAGCCCACAGGCTCTATCTATTGAGCCAAACTGACTAGGGCTCTTAAGACGTTCTCAACTTTCTTATAGGTGCAGCCTTCGGTCTTATCGAGTGCTTTGACTAGTCTATGGTACTGACATGGGTAGGCGATTTAAGGTAATTGTCGACGGCAAATAAAACAGACAATGACTAACACCTGTCGTCATTTTGGGGAACGCGGGTGCCCACTCCATGTCCCCAGGGGCAGGGACATAAACCAGAGGCCCTGACCCTCTGCCAGGTGAGGGCAGGGGGGCTGATCTGATCAGTAAGGTTGGGGGAGGAACCGAGGGCATAGCTGAGCCTCTTCTGCTCAGGCGGCCGGTACATTCTGCCCTCAGTGTGGTAGGTTTCCGAGGTCCCGTGTCTCCAGAAGCCGTGGCTGTGCCAGCCTGCGCCTGGCGCCCGTCCGTGGCACCAGCAGACCGGCCTGTTACAGGCCAACACTCGCTCCTCTCCGTTCTCCCCGCCCGGGCTCTCAGGAGGGACGGGACTACGAGCTGACCCCAATCGTAGCATTTAAAACAACTACATTGTCGCTTTTAAAACAGCGTCTAAATGCATAGACAGGTTTCCCGCCGCGGGTATTCAGCGCCCGGTTGCCTGAGCTCAGCGCCTCACAGGCCCGCAGTTAGGGAGGGGGGCCGGGGAGGGGGGCCCCCCGGCTCTGAGCTCCCGTCACCTGCTCACGGGCGCAGCCTGGCCAGGGCTGAGAGCCAGAACCCGGGCCAGAGCTGCTTACCTGGAAGTTGTTGTACTTGTAAAGGGTCCCTCCCGTGAGCTGCGGCACGAGCCCCAAGGAGGCCACGTCCACGTACTGGCTGGGGAAGAGGAAGAGCGTCACGCAGCAGCCGTGGGCCACGCAGTCCCGGGCCAGCGCCTCGTAGACCCCGCTCTGGGGTTGGAAGAGGACCTGTGGGAAGGGCGTGGGAGGACGTGAGACGGACGGCGGGTCTCAGTGTGGAGTCCCCCCGCGCTCACGGCAGGAAGTGCTGTGTGCGGCGAGCCCTGAAGGTGCATACAACCATCAGCACAGCAGCGGCGGGCCACTGGGAGACACGTGTGTCTGCACATGATCTGACCCTTTGACCTTCTGACCCGACCTGAGAAGCTGCTCCGCGCCCTCCCTCTCGTCCTGGACGAGGCCACAGGTCTCAGGTGACGTCCTGCCCACAGACCAACCCTTCCCCAGGCTGCACAGCCCCGGTGTGAGCAGAGCAACTGAGGGACGTCTGCATAGGAGCGGCCCATCCCTCTGCCCGCCTCCACCTCCCCCAGCTCCCCGCCCTATACCGCCTGGTCCTATACCGCCTGGTCCTACACCGCCTAGTCACCGCCTCGCCCGACACTGCCTGGTCCTATACCGCCTCGCCCTACACTGCCTGGTCTTATACCTCCTCAACCTACACCACCTGGTCCTATACCGCCTCGCCCTACACCGCCTGGTCCTATACCGCCTCGCCCTACACCGCCTGGTCCTATACTGCCTCTACACCGCCTGGTCCTATACCGCCTCGCCCTACACCGCCTGGTCCTATACTGCCTCTACACCGCCTGGTCCTATACCACCTCGCCCTACACCGCCTGGTCACCGCCTCGTTCACGGTTCCCATGAAGACGGTCGGACCTCGCTCTGTGGGGCCGCAGCTCACACAGCCTTGTTTCTAGGACAGGAGGCTTCCTAGTCGCCATGATTCCCCGCCCTCTGCATCCCATGTCCTGGCTACGCCGGCCCCTCCCTTCCCTGCATGGCACCGGGCCTCCTGCACCCCGAGAGCGGCACCCACCTTCTCCTTGTCCGTGTTGATCAGCTTCCTGTCGTCCCGGTTCCGCAGCTTGCCGGGGGCCTCGGCCGTGGGCAGGGAGGCGTGGAAGACGAGCAGCTTCCCGGGGCACTCGGCGGCCTGCAACGGGCACGGGGCCTCGCTTAGGGACAGTCCATTAGACAGAAGTGCTTCCGTGAGCCGGACAGAGGCCTCAGCAACGCCCCCCCCCCGCCCCCTGCAGCCTGCGTCCCGGCGGGTCCGGGCCCCTGCGCAGCCATGGGAAGCTGCGGCTTTGGGAAATGCGTGGTGAATCTAAATGCAGGTCTGTGTCCCGGTGCTGTGACAGCGGGCTGTGTCTTACAGCGCTGAGCATACAGCCGGGGTTCCCGGACCAGGACTCCGGGGCCAAAGGAAGTGACAGGCTTCCGGCCGTGATGCTGCAGACACTCTTGAGAAACTGGGAAACACGACTTAAACCTGAAGCGCACTTCAAGGAAGGAAGCACAGGAATGCCGCAGGGCAGCCCGGCCGGCCTGGCTCAGGGGCTGGGCAGCACCTGTAAACCAGGAGGTCTCGGTTCGATTCCTGGTCAGGCACAGGCCCAGGTTGCAGGCTCCATCCCCAGTGGGGGCATGGAGGAGACTGCCGGTCAATGATTCTGTCACTGATGTTTCTCTCGCTCCCTCCCCCTTCCTCTAGAATATGGAGGTGTTGCAGCAACAGCCCACACAGGAGCCGCCGCCAGGAGGAGGAGAGGGGAAACGTGCTCAGACTGTCCTAGAACCGGAGACGGCAGGATGACTCCGAGTGCTCCGTGGGAGCGATCCGCAGGACAGGCATCTGAACCTGCTCCCGGAGCGGGGAGGCACTGACCGGGCACACTGAGTGTTGAGGGTTCCAGTGCCTCCCGCGCCCCCTCCGCCGCCCGGCACGCAGCCCAGAGCGTGTCTCCGAACAACAGCTCTGGCCATGCCTGGGCTCTTCTGGGAACGCTGGAGCCTCCCCGCACACAGTCTGGTCCTTTAGGGGGCGGGCAGGCGGAGCGGGAGGGAGGGAGGGAGGGAGCGGGGGGAGCTGCCCCTCCCCGGCTGCACACACTGGCTCCGTCTGACTCTCTGCCTGCGGAGAAGGTGCTGCCTCTGAGGACAGAGCAGAGCGTGGCGTCTGCCGGGCCTGGGCCCCACGGCCAGTGCCGGGCGCTGCCGGCCTCTGCGGTTCCGACGAACGCCGCTGTCCAGCCGGATCGCCAGCGCCCGCCCTGTGTCCCGCACTGGGGTCTCCCGTCTCGGGAACTGACCAGGCGCCTCGCACGTTTGTCCCTCAGCCGGGACCCGTGGCCCCTGGCCTGGCCTGGAGCGGGGCTGGGGGCACACCAAGGGCCGGCTCAGCTGGGAGGTTTCCAGAAGTCACCTGCTGCTTGGGTTTGAGAACAACTTCCTTCAAAGACAAGCAGAGAGAAGCCCTGTGAGCCTGCACTCGTGGCACTGAGGGTGTCTGCTGTGCTTGGCGAGCGTCCCAGCGTGGACTCCGGCTGACACACAGCGACGGCCCGGTGGTGGTGATAGTGAGTGGGGACTCCATGGCTGCCAGCACAGTGAGGAGGAGGAGGAGGAGGAGGAGGAGGAGGAGGAGGAGGAGGACGACGACAAGGTAGGGGTGGAGGGGAGGAGGAGAAGAAGGAGAAGGGGGAGGAGGGGAGGGAAGGAAGAGGAGGAGAAGGAAGGGGAAGAGGGGGAGGAGGATAAGGAGGAGGAGGAGGAGGACCAAGAGGATGAGATGAGGAGGGGAGGAAGAGAAGGAAGAGAAGGAAGGGGAAGAGGGGGAGGAGGATAGGGAGGAGGATGAGGACAAGAGGATGAGGAGAAGGAGGAGAGGGATGAGAAGGGGAGAAGAGGAGGATGAGGAGGGAGGGTAGGGGGGAGGATGAGGAGGGGAGGGGAAGGAGGGAGGGAGGGAGAGGAGGAGGAGCAGGGACGAAGCGCAGGCTGCACCACCTGTCCATGCACGGGAGGGACACCCCGCACTGCCTGGTGAGGCACATTGTCCAATGCCCAAATCCAAGCACAATGCTGGTAATACATGTCAAAAATGTGGAATTCTAAGACTACTTTTTCATTCCTATCACTTCTATTATAGAAGTATTTTTTGTTTGTTGTAATTCAAATAGGAGAAAAAGTAAAAACTTTAAAATCTCCACCTCCCCCTTTCCTGGCGGCCCACCAACTCCAAGCCGTGGCTGGGCAAGCTCTGTCCCCCAGCGCCCTCGCGCACAGCGTCCTGCAGCCCGGGCCTGTGCTGCGGAGCGTGAGAGTCCCCGCCCACTCAGCTGAGTGACGTCTTTAAGCCTCAGGTACACAGTTTGTGACAGAGGTAACATGCATCCTGTGAGAAAACTCAGTGAGCATGCCTGCGCTCAGCATGGCAAACACACATCACTGCCCGTTAACACCTCCAAGTGCAAAACTCTGAAGGGAAAACTCAGGGCCCGTTAAAAAAATAAGGTTCAATATAAACAATTTTAAAGTTCGATATTTTTAAAAAGCCATGTCTATTTCTTGGCCATACGGTTATGAGCTTTAGATTTACAGTTTCACTATTCACATGCTTATGAATAAGAGAATACGCTCCTGTGCCTACAGCTCTGTGTCTGATTGGGCTGCATGACTGTGCTTGAGCACGAGATGAGTGACACCTGTCACTCTCACTGTGATGGACAGCGGCGAGCACGGTCCCGGGAAGGACACCGGGTTCCCAGGCCAGCCTTACAAAGCGGGGCCCTGCCTGCACCTGCTGGGCTCTAGGAAAGGCCCTGGGTCACCGACAGGCGCAGGCCCCAGGGGAGATGGGGCGAGGGGCGTCCTGCAGGTCTGGAAGTGCAGATCCTGTGGAATGTGTTATGTTAATAGTATAATAATAAGGGGACTGAATGAGGTTCCTTAGAGCCAAAGGGGGGCTACGCTGGGAGCCCTGGCAGACCGGAGGCGGGCACGCTGGGGAACGTGGCCGAGGCCTGTGGGGAGTCCGGACCAGCTGCTAGCAGCCCAGGGCTAGCACAGGCGCCTCTCTTCCTTGGGGGAATTCCGTGGTGTGTGTCTGGCTGTAAACTGCACTGACAGCCACTGAGAGGCTCCTCACCTTCAGGGCCTCCATGCCGGCCTGGATGACGGGCGCGAAGACGGTCTCGTTCTCGGTGGAGTTGGCGAACATCTCGGGGATCTGGTCCAGCAGACTGCGGGAGCGCCAAGCAAAGGCAGGTGGGCGTGTGCTTCCCCGGACACCGAGGGGCTCAGAGGTCGCTCCCCAGGGAATCACAGCCAGTGTGGTTTGGCCCCAACATGTGGATTTGTTTGGAACAGTTACAGAATCATTCCCTTTGCAGATGTTTTTTCTATCCCACATTTCCGATGGTTTAGCTGCAATTCCTGAGTAATTATTCCATTATTGCCGTTGTCACAGGACACACTCACCCACAGAGGCCACGCCGCCTCCTGGGCCTCCCCACAGAGCAGGTGCGGGTGAGCGCGCGTTGACGGCGGCGACGGGGTCAGAGCCCCGTCCGCCACGGGCTCCCCATGCGATGGGACCGAGGCAGACAGCCCGCCACACGGGCAGGACGCAGCACTTACTTGTGGATCACGGCCTGGGACTCGTGGTAGTTGACCAAAAAACCGTCCAGCAAGGGCACGAAGACCTCAGCCACGTCGGTCACCACCATCATCTGCGGCTGCGCCAGGTTGCTCTTGACGTTGAAGAAGTGCAGCACCTTGTTGTAGGTGACGAAGCCCACGCGGACGGCAGACGGCGCCTCCGGCTCTTCCCTGGGGGAGACAGGCCAGCCCCCTGAGCCTGGAGAGGCCCCCTGAGCCCCAGAGGCCCCCTTAGCCCGGAGAGGCCCCCTGAGCCCCAGAGGCCCCCTTAGCCCGGAGAGGCCCCCCTGAGCCCCGAGAGGCCCCCCCTTAGCCCCGAGAGGCCCCCCTTAGTCCCAAGAGGCCCCCCCCCTTAGCCCGGAGAGGTCCCCTTAGAGAGGCCCCCTTAGCCCCGAGAGGCCCCCTCAGCCCGGAGAGGCCCCCTCAGCCCGGAGAGGCCCCCCTTAGGCCGGAGAGGCCCCCCTTAGCCTGGAGAGGCCCCCCTTAGCCCCGAGAGGCCCCCCTTAGCCCCGAGAGGCCCCCTTAGAGAGGCCCCCTTAGCCCCGAGAGGCCCCCTTAGCCCGGAGAGGCCCCCCCTTAGTCCCGAGAGGCCCCCTTAGCCCGGAGAGGCCCCCCTTAGCCCCGAGAGGCCCCCCTTAGCCCCGAGAGGCCCCCCTTAGCCCCGAGAGGCCCCCCTTAGCCCCGAGAGGCCCCCCTTAGCCCCGAGAGGCCCCCTTAGCCCGGAGAGGCCCCCCCTTAGTCCCGAGAGGCCCCCTTAGCCCGGAGAGGCCCTCGGGCAGCAGCGCGCTCCCAGGGCAGAGTGAGTCCGGGTCTCGCCGGGGCCACATGCAACAGACACCCACGTGGGGAGTCATGGCGGGTGGTGGGGGAGCACAGACACAGGAACTGGCAGAGAATTTGACTCAGAGTAAATACCCAATAGATGTTACTAAAAATGCTCACGTTCCGTCAGTCCCACACTCTGACACCTGTTCTCAATCCACAGCTGTTTTATAACCAAGCGAGGCCCTCCTTCCTCATACGCAAAGCCCCCCGGAGCCTGTCTGGCCCGACCGGGAGCATCGGAAGCCAGAGGAGGGCGTGCTGCACCAGGACAGCTCTTCCCGGGCAGAGGGCCCTGCCCTCGTGTGGCCCCTGCCCTCCTGTGACCCCTGCCCTCCTGTGGCCCCTGCCCTCGTGTGGCCCCTGCCCTCCTATGACCCCTGCCCTCCTATGACCCCTGCCCTCCTGTGACCCCTGCCCTCCTATGACCCCTGCCCTCGTGGGGCCCCTGCCCTCGTGTGGCCCCTGCCCTCCTGTGGCCCCTGCCCTCCTGTGACCCCTGCCCTCGTGTGGCCCCTGCCCTCCTGTGACCCCTGCCCTCCTGTGACCCCTGCCCTCCTGTGGCCCCTGCCCTCCTGTGGCCCCTGCCCTCGTGTGGCCCCTGCCCTCGTGTGGCTCCCGCCCCTCAAGAACCTCACGGCCAGTGGGGGTCTGAGAGCCACATGCCACACAGTCTAAGTTAGGGGTGTCGAACTCAATCAGAGAGGGGGCCAAAATCTAAAATCCAGCCTAAATCGAGGGCCGAATGGTTTACTGAACAGTCATAAACTGTCATTGTGATGGAAACGCAGCGGAGTGCAGTGATGGCAGCGCAGTGCGGGCCACATTGCAAGGCCTGGAGGGATGGATTTGGCCCGCGGGCCTTGTGTTTGACACATGTGGTCTAAGTGGTGAAGTAGGTCACACACAGCTCACAGGTGGCCTCGGTGCGACCCAGCACCATAAAGCTCAGTGCTCAGCACACAGTGACGCTTATGAGGCATTCCAGACAAGGCCTTCGTCTCGCCCGGAGGAGAAGGTGTGAATGTCCTCACTCAATCCCTGCCAAGCGTGTTCAGACTGTGTGACCTGGACTCAGTCCCATGTTCACTGAAGGCGTGTCTGTCTGTGAGTCCCCCAGGCGCCCTCCAGCCCTCAGAGCGGCTCTGGCAGAGCCCGGCTCCCACAGCCTCAGGCCTCGTGCAGCTCTGCCGCAGCCGATGCTGGCCAGCTCAGTGCGGCCTGCACGGGGCACAGGGCGCACAGGCGGGGGCGGGAGCGCGGACGGGAGGGTCAGCTCGTCTGGCCTCTCGCCCCTCTGACGCCTCAGCGGTGACACTCTATGACCTCCGCCTTCGCTCCTGAGGGGTGTGTTCCTCATCGAGGCCTCGACCATGGTGGGCAGTTAAGCAGAGCCTCATGATCCTCCAAAAGCACCGGGGGCTTACATTCTGGGTCTACACGCGCGCGCCACACACACACACACACACACACACACAATCACACACGCATGCTCACACCCCTGGTGCCCCACACGGAGCTCCACGTGCGAACCACTGTCCACGTTCCCTTCCCGCCTGCTGCAGACGCTCCTCTTCCAGGCCAAGCACAGACCCCTCCCCTCTGGGTGTCCCTGTGGCACCACTGGGCGCGGTTCCGTGTGAACTCCCACGCCTCGTTCCCGGGCTCTCCAGTTCCCAGCACGAACCCTGAGGTACACCGTGCGGCTGCGGAAGCCCGCGCGCTCCGCCCTGCGGGTGCAGGGCGAGTTAGGGCTCTGGGGGTGTCCCCGAAGGCGAGGCACCGGGCCGCCGTAAGCATCCCGCTCAGTGCGTGATGGCGCCTCACTCAGCCCGGCGGAGGGGTTTACACCACGGGCCTGGCACACGGCCGTCAGGGCTTCGTCCGGGCAGTTCCCCATCAGTGTCCCACGCCTGTTCCCAGCAAGCCTGCCGTTACGTCAGGCAGAGAGTGTCCCGCAGATCACAAAGGGCATTTATTTTCTTTTAATGGCTAATCTGGAGTCAACGAAGACAAAGCAGAAAAGAAAACGGACACACAAGAACCAGGGAAAGGTTTTCCCACTGGATTAGGACATTTGCAAGTGATGGGAAAGGAGCATCTGGGTTCGTGGCCTCCCTTAAATCAAGTTAACATTGTAAAAACGTCTAATGAGAGCATCTCACGTTATTGCAAAGTGTTAGCACGTATTTCCACGGGGACATGATTTTATTTTTTTAACTTATTTATTTTTTTCCCATGCTCTTTTTTTTTTTTTTTTTAATATATTTTATTGATTTTTCACAGAAAGGAAGAGAGAGAGAGTTAGAAACATCGATGAGAAAGAATCATCGATCAGCTGCCTCTTGCACACCCCCTACTGGGGATGTGCCCGCAACCAAGGTACATGCCCTTGCCCGGAATCGAACCCGGGACCTTTCAGTCTGCAGGCCGACGCTCTATCCACTGAGCCAAACCGGTCCCGGCGGGACATGTTTTTTTAATTTGAGAACAGGAAACTGTCTTAAATGTTCCTGTAACAGCATAACTGCCTGGTTACATCCTATGGAGAGAACACTAACCCGGCCTGTCCTTTACAGCAATGCCGCCCGCAGAATGAGGGACTCAGGCGAACACCACGTTCTGCTCAGCGTGTCCGCTCCCAGCTCCCTCGGCGCTCGCCCTGTCAGTGGGAGGACTGACAGCAACACTGAGGATGCTAGGAACCACGCAAACCAGAATGTTCCAGACCAAGCAGCTGGAGATCTCAGCTCAGCAGCATTACACACGGTCAGAAAAAATGAGAGTTTGGTGGGCACAACAGGTGGGAAACTTCAAACCGTGTCTTTCCTCTTCCAAAGAGTCAGACAGAAAAGCCAGGTGGCCTGGCAGTTTCAGAGATATGAATGCAGAGTTAAACGTAAAAAAACAGGTGCCCAGCAGGAGTGGCTCAGGGGCTGAGCATCGACCTATGAACCAGGAGGTCATGGTTCAGTTCCCCATCAGCGGACATGCCTGGATTGGGACTCAATCCCCAATGTGGGGCGTGCAAGAGGCAGCAGATCCATGATTCTCTCATCATTGATGCTTCTCTCTCTTTCCCTCTCCTTTCCTCTCTGAAATCAACACAAATGTGTTTTTTAAGAAGCGGGCCTTCCCTTTTCTAAAGATCAGCTAAGCGACTGACACACCTGACAGTGATCAAGACGTGCCGCGCTGTCTACGGCTGTCTGCACATCGCCTGCTCGGCTCAGAGAAGCCAGCAACACTGATGGCCATGTTACACAGACAAGATAAAGCTACCACACATACTCACACACACACACACACACACACACACACACTCACACTCACACACAGACACACACATACACACACACTCATAGACACACACTCACACAGACACACACTCACACACAGACACACACTCACACACACACAGACACACACACAGACACACTCACACACAGACACACTCACACACAGACACACACACACAGACACACTCACACACAGACACACACATACACACACACTCATAGACACACACTCACACAGACACACACTCACACACAGACACACACTCACACACACACAGACACACACACACACACACACACAGCACGGAGTAAACCCGGGGGAGAAGGAGCACAGATCTGCTTGGAAAGGTCAAGAAGAGAGGTATCTGGTTTGAATGACAACTCTTAAGAGGAATCTGTCCCAAAGCACAGGGACCCTGCGGCCTGGGACTGTCTCGGCCTTCTGCCAGGTCACCGATGGGTGCCAACAGCTGTGCGCCGCCTGTGGAGGGAGGGCCACACTGCGAGATGTGTGAGCTCACACCATGTGGAAGGGAAGGCGGCGCAGTGATGAGGAGGATGCCCAGCTCAGGGGACAGGGCAGAGGGAAGGAGCGAGGCCGTTTCCAGGAGTCAGTGCCCTTCCTTTCTCGCCCCAGCTGGCAGCGCAGACCAGACGGCAGCGGGGGGGGGGGGGGGGGGGGGGGGGGGACCCGGGGAGGGCAGGCACCCGGGGAGGGCGGGGACCTGGGGAGGGCGGGGACCTGGGGGGGGCGGGGACCCGGGGAGGGCGAGGATCTGGGGGAGGGGGGGGGACTGGGGACCCGGGGAGGGCGGAGACCTGGGGGAGTGGGGGGAACTGGGGACCCGGGGAGGGCAGGCACCTGGGGAGGGCGGGCACCCGGGGAGGGCGGGGACCCGGGGAGGGCGGGCACCATGTCCTGCTCAGCGAGCCCTCCCTCCGAGGCTGCGCACTGGCCCAGCCATGCCTCTCATGCCCTCCTCCACGCGCTCAGCACCCTTCCCTTTAGGGTTCTGCTGAAAGCACCTCACTGTTTCTAAACAGCCTCCCCTTCCCCCCCAACCCAGCCCCACTTCTCCAAACCATCCTCAGGAATGTATGGTTTCCTTGTCACAGATACAAACAACCCTGCTCCTTCCGGTCCACCCACTCAACTGCCCGCCCTCGGACCTGGGCCCTGAGGCGGCGGGCACCCACCCCAAGCACCGCTCTCCAGACGGGGTGCTCCTGCCCGGGTGGGGCAGTGCTGAGGCGGCGGGCACCTACCTGGGCAGCCGCTCCAGCACGGCCTTCAGCTCCTCGCAGATGAGCCGCACCAGCCCGCTGCGGATGTTGCTGTAGGACACGTCAATCATGAAGATGAAGGCGGGAGGGCTGGGCGGCTTGTTCTTCTGCGGGAAGCACACAAAGGACAAGCCGGTTACACACTGAGAGTGCACAGTCAACCACACAGCACTCCCAGTCACACACTAAGACAGCCAGTCACAGCACTCCCGGTCACACACTGTGAGAGCGCACAGTCAGTCACAGCACTCCCGGTCACACACTGTGAGAGTGCACAGTCAGTCACAGCACTCCCGGTCACACACTGTGAGAGCGCACAGTCAGTCACAGCACTCCCGGTCATACACTAAGACAGCCAGTCACAGCACTCCCGGTCACACACTGAGAGCGAGCAGTCAGTCACAGCACTCCCGGTCACACACTGTGAGACGCACAGTCAACCACACAGCACTCCCACTCACACACTAAGACAGCCAGTCACAGCACTCCCGGTCACACACTGTGAGAGCGCACAGTCAGCCACACAGCACTCCCAGTCACACACTAAGACAGCCAGTCACAGCACTCCTGGTCACACACTGTGAGAGCGCGCAGTCAGTCACAGCACTGCCGGTCACACACTGTGAGAGCGCACAGTCAGTCACAGCACTCCCGGTCACACACTGTGAGAGCGCACAGTCAGCCACACAGCACTCCCGGTCACACACTGTGAGAGCGCACCATCAGTCACAGCACTCCCGGTCACACATTGTGAGAGCACACCATCAGTCACAGCACTCCCGGTCACACATTGTGAGAGCACACCATCAGTCACAGCACTCCCGGTCACACACTGTGAGAGCGCACAGTCAGTCACAGCACTCCCGGTCACACACTGAGAGTGCACAGTCAGCCACACAGCACTCCCGGTCACACACTGAGAGCGCACCATCAGTCACAGCACTCCCGGTCACACACTGTGAGAGCGCACAGTCAGTCACAGCACTCCCGCAGGCACCCGGTGTTGTGCTTACACTCGAGGGGAATCAGCACCCAGCACAGTCCTAAGGCTGTCAAAGGCAAAGGCTGCAGTCTGCAGGCCCGCCCCGTCAGCCCCAGGGGAGCAGGCGGGGGCTCCCTCACAACCCGCCTCAGGGAAGGGAACCCGCAAATGGTGCCAGAAAAGAGGACACATAGTTCTTGTCTTTGAAAGGGCAGTAAACGGCATTAGCCTCCAATCGCTAATCTCAACTTTCTTCCTTGATAAGCATTTCAATGTTAAAGTCAGGAAATCACATACTAAAATACAACTATACTGAAAAAATGAAACTACATTGTTAAATACTTCCCACTTCTAACGTCCTCAGGATAAAGCATGGACCACATGGCCTTTTCTCTCTCTGTTTAAAATAATCTCCTTAACACAGAGCAGCTGCCACTGGAGCGCTGCTGGCCACGGTCACACATGCGGGAGGGATCACCAGCGGACCTCACACAAACATTTAGAAAAGAGAGCCACAGGCCAACGGCTTTAGTGTCTCACACTAATAGAGAAAGCAAAGAGGGAAGACCTAGTTCATTTTAACTTTATAATAATAAATAATAGAAATGTCTAGAAACTGTACTTAGCTACAATTACAAAATTAATGATAGTATCTCCAAACTAGAGGCCCGATGCATGCAATTCTTTAAGAGCAGGCCTGCCTTCCTCCCCCCGCTGCTGCACCGCTTCCCGCTGGCCCCCGGGACCGGGCTTCCCTTGAAGCCCAGCTTCGTCCAGAAGGACGCCCAGTCTAATTAGCATATTATGCTTTTATCATTATAGATTATCCTACAAATTCATTCTATAAGCACTATGAGGCTAGCTATCACATTCTAGTAAAAGTTCTTCATTTGAAGTAAGAGAAGCAGGCCTGGAGAGGGAGCTCTGCGGTGAGAGCAGCGTCCAGAATCCCCCAGGTCGGGGCACATAGAAGAATCGGCCAGCGAATACAGAAATATGTGGAACAACAAATCATCGTTTCTCTCTCTTCTTTCCTCTCTAAAACCAATCAATAAATAAGAAAACAGTGACAGGACTTAAAAATCATCAACCCGAAAGCCTCGATCCTCTGGCATCTCCAAAACCAGACCAACAAGCGGTGAATGGAATCTGCTGCTCTTCACATGAGCAATCTGTTGCACTCACTCCTGGCTCCACCTCCTCTGACTCGGACACAGACTTAGGCTGATGGACATGGAATGAAAACAGCCATTCCCGTCAATTACACTAAAATGCATTCGTGGTCAACCCACAGGTGCCTTCCCATTCTGTGTGCTCCCCCTCACCCTGGCCCGGCCTGCCCCAGCCTCTCCGTGGCGCCACCGTACGCATCCCTACAGAAGCTTCCTGCAGCTCACTCCCCGTGTGTGCAAGGCTAGTCCATCGTCCCTCTCAACGACGGCTCTTCCCGCGCCTCTGTCCATGGCATCACCACACGCCAACCCAAAGGCTTCAGACATGGGGTCAGATCTGACCATTCCCTCTCTTTCAAAATTTCCTTTCACCTTTCACCCCATCCCCGCCCTTCCCCGCCCAGCTCTGTCATCTCAAGCCCGGAAGCTGTAAGGACCTCAGCGTTGGCTTCCAACCCATCGCTCTACCCACTCGATCCGGCTGCTTCGCCCAGCCAAGCTCACGTCTGACCTCGGTACAAACTGGCTCTGAGTGACACCATGCTCCGTGACACCGCATTCCACGCCGCTGCCCTCGACGACTCTGCACCCCTGACACCTCACTCCATAACACCCCCCTGTGACGCCCCCCCGTGACGCCTCCCCCCGTGACGCCCCCCCGTGACGCCCCCCCCGTGATGCCTCCCCGTGACGCCACCCCTAGTGACGCCTCCCTGTGACACCTCCCAGTGATGCCCCCCCGTGACGCCCCCCCGTGACGCCTCCCCGTGACGCCTCCCCCGTGACGCCCCCCCGTGACGCCTCCCCGTGACGCCCTCCCCCCGTGACACCCCCCCGTGACGCCTCCCTGTGACGCCCCCCCATGATGCCTCCCCGTGATGCCCCCCCCCGTGACACCTCCCCCCGTGACGCCACATTCTGTGACTCCGCACTCTGTGACGCCGCACTCTGACACGGCACGCATGACACGGCACTGACCGGCTCTCAGAGGTCACTGCTTCCCAACAGCCTTGGAGCAGATCCAGCTCCTCCCCGCCAGCATCTGCACCTGTAGGCTCACAGGCGGCTCACGTTGTGGCGACCAAAGCGCCATGCCCTCCTTCCTCTCCTGCTCGCCTGACCGTGCTCCTGTCTCACTCCCTTCTCTTTCTCTAAGAAGCCTCTCCTCCCTTCCCACCGCCCAACCACAGACACCACTTCACTCGCTCCGCTGGAACCGGCACCTCCATAGAGGCGACTCCCCATATTCGCTCGCCAGGGGCTCCTCTGAGCTCAGACCAGCATCCGACCGACCAAAGCACAGCGCCACGGGCCGTCCGAGCACCTGATACTCGGACTGCAGCCGTCTGCACACGTCTCCCGCTCTCCTGTCCTTTCTGTGAGAACCTACAGAACCCGATCGTCTGGAACCATCTTGCAATCTCTCTCGCGGAGCTGTCACCTCCCTGCCACCTCACCGCCCACTGGGAGTCCTCTGTGCCCCAGTCCAGTGCCCACGCACAGATCCTCACCCTCTCTCTTCCATGTGACCTTGGTGGAGGGGCGTCACGGGGGGAGGTGTCACAGGGAGGCCTCACCCCCCAGACAGCCTGCACCATCCACAGTCACTCCCATCGCCCTCCCTCCCGCCCTGCAGGCTGCCTCGGTGAACTAAGTCCCCCAGTGCTGCGCATCGGTAGAATCGCACAGGGTCTGTCTTCAATGTGATGGCTTACTTCACTTCGTGCAAAGCCCTTAACGTTCTCCGATGCTGTAGCTGCGTCAGAGTTTTCTCTTTTTTAAAAAAATATATTTTATTGATTTTACACAGAGAGGAACTGAGAGGGACAGAGATTTAGAAACATCGATGAGAGAAACATCGACCAGCTGCCTCTTGCACACCCCCCACAGGGGATGTGCCCGTAACCAAGGTACATGCCCTTGCCCGGAATCGAACCCGGGACCTTTCAGGCCGCAGGCTGACACTCTATCCACTGAGCCACACCAGTCCCGGCGAGTTTCCTCTTTTTTAAGGAGAATGATATGCCATTGCATGGGCGGCACATGCTGTGCATCCATTCGCCACGACGGACACTGGGCCTCTACCGCCTGTGAACGGGTGCACTGCCTCCTGCAGACCCTGCTCTCATGGGGCTCCCCAGAGAGCAAGTGCGGGCCACACAGCTGCTCTCCTTTGCGCTTTTTGAGGACTTGCTCTGCAGCCTCCTTCCTCTCGCTTAGACTACCCCGTTGACTTCTAACCCCCCCGCTCCCACCCGCGCCTCGCTGTGGAGGCTGCTGCCAGCACCCCCTGCGGAGGCCCAGAGCAGGTGGCAGTGCCCGGCTGGGGGGGGCACAGCCCGCTCCACCCACTCCTTCACGGCCCTCCCTGGCCACCCACCCTGAGCCCTGCCTGCGTGTTCCTAGGTGCCTGGCTCTGTGCCTGCCGCACTCCCACCGGGTGGACCAGGCCTTCGCTGGCGAGCACCTGGAGATCAGGTTCGTTATCTGCTAGTTCTGTCTCTCACAGCATAGAGCCGAGTGCCGTGGCGTGCTAGGCATCCAAAAGAGTGTCAAACCGAAGTAAAACCAAGAGGAAAAGCGATCTTTTCACTTAAATATAAAGGGAGGTCACACAGAACAGAGAGCCCTGAGCACAGCGTCACATGTAGTAAATGTTAAATAACTGCACACATTGGCATTAACTAAACTAAAATGAATAGGAAAATGTGAGTCTGCAATTCACCTTAAGTTCTACATGTTAAAAAAAATACACATATAAATAAAATAAGATCTTTCTCATCATCCAAATCTGTAAAGCAACTCAGCGTGATACTTATGTCCATTGAAGCTATAGTTAAGCGTGAAGACACTCACACATCCTTTATCACGAGCCTCACATGGGATAACAAAGGGAAGACGAAGCTCACAAAACCGCTTCGAAGCGCACCGCTCTCATTTGGTCCCGGCCTCGGCGGAGTTCCCACCGTCAGACATCGGGACATTTCCCAGCGCCTCTCCGGATAAGACGGCCAAGCACTGAGGCTTGTGTTCCCAGAGAGAGCTGGCTCTCTGCTTCGGTTTCTACTAAAAAAGCAGAAAGTCAAGACACTGCGGCCTCGTTGGCAGAGAGCTGGGAACTCAGTCAGATTTATGCTCCGGTCCCAAAGGTCAGCGAGTACATTCTGCACTCGGACCTGACGGCTTTATCACTTTAATTGGGACGTTTATATTCGCCTGACATTCTCCCGTCAACAGCGACCCAACAAGCAAATGCCCCAAAGCAGTTGACACTTGAGGACATATTATCTCCCTGAAATAAAGCATTTGTACCAAGAATGTCCTTCTACTCCCCAAACTATGTTCAAGTGTTACATTTTAAACTAACAAAGCATTAACCCTTTATAGCTATGTGCTGTAAAAAAATAACCGCATGCAAAACACTAAAACAAATGCAAAAGTTAAGTTAAAAACACGCTGAAGTCCGAGCAACGGAGAAGCTTCCAGCTGGAACCGGTTCTGTCTGCACGGAGCGGGCAGGCCTCGCCCTCTGCAGCTCGGTCAGGGCTCCTTCTCAGCCCGCTGCGCGCGGCCTCTCTGCAGGGGGAGGGCGCTGCTCAGGCCTGCTTCCTCAGGTGCCACACGGCACTCCAGCCATAAGCTGACATCTGACTTTAAGTCACCGAGAACTCTCAAGCCCTGGAGGCACCCTGTGATGCCACCAGCCCTGTGCCTGGAGAAGGGACACAGCGAGTCCTGGACTAGGCACACGCCTGCAGACTCCCACACTCACTGCTCACTCACCCCACACCCCGATCCACTGCCTGCCTGTGCCACAGTTAGCTGGGACAAGACTCCTGCCCCAGGGAGATCAGAACCATGAAGAGGGAAGACACAGATTTAAAGTCCACAGGATCACTGCTAAATGTATGGACCAAGTTCTATGAAAACAACAGCAACAACGGAAGATTAGTGAACGGCCACCACAGTGACATCAGACAAAGGTGTGCACGCGCGCGCGCACACACATAAACCAAAGCCCGGCCAGGTGCTCGGGAGTAAGCAGGAGTCTGCTGCGGGGAGGGGGGGGGGGGGCGGGGGGCGGGTCAGAGCAGGGGTGGAGGTCCGTATTGAGCACAGCGCTGGGTGCCGGTCTGGGCCCAGCGGTCAGTGGTCTCATAAGGAAGCTCACATCCCTCAGCTAACGCTTCAGCTAAGGAGGTGGGGGAGCGCTTGGCCACATTTCAAGGGCAAGTTCCCCAGCTGCTGGGCACTGGGGGATCTGAGGGTGTCGCTCTTGTGGCGACAACAGACGGGAACACAGAAACAGGCCCCTGGCCTGCAGCCCGTCCTGCCGAGCTTTTGCCAGAAGTGAGGCAATGGCGTGAGAAGACAAAGCCAGTAAGAAGGAGGCGGCACTGCGGACCCGCACGTCCTGCCTGGAGGGACACGGCGTTAGGCCACTGCTCTCCGTGCCGCGCGTTTATAAAACGGCACTGCCATGTGTGCTGCTGTCTCCTCGGTGCCAGCGCCGAGGCCCCCGCGCCCCTGGCCCCGGCACGCTCTGTCAGATCCTCGCACACGCGGTCATTCACGTGGACTGACGCCGTGTGCGACACCGACTGCGGGACACTCACCCTGCAGTAGTCCAGAGTGGCCACATACTCGTAGGAGCCCAGGGACAGCTCCGGCCTCTCGCCGTGGTCCAGCCGGCGGCCCATGTGGTCCAGGTGCTGGAAGTAGGACGGCGGGACTGACAAAACAAAACGGGAAAGGAAGTCTTCTGTTTTTACCACACAGACAACGCAATAAGTCCTCAAAATCTATGGCGGGCGGAACCGAGTGAGGAGCGGAAACAAGTATTTTGAGCTAGAATGTAATATACTCTGAAGACCCACCATCTAAAAGCCTGCCTTGGAAAGAATGAGGGTTTTCTAAAAATAAAAAAAATAAAAACACCCTCCTGACTGCCTACAAGTTGCTGATGACAAGGAGCACTTGGGCCTGGGATCCTGGAGAGAAGCAGGACGCAGCCACTGTGCCCGCAGGGGTCACGGCAGAGGTCTCACTGTCCCTACCTCATTGCCTTCGAAAAGCAAGGCTGGCTTTCCTCAGCATTCCCGTTTCAGTCCACCTCACAGAAGCATGTGATCGCATGGACTAGCTGTGAACTGGTATCTGTCACCCGGCAGCTGGGTGCCCCCGCAGGCGCGGGGAGTGTGCCCGGCCGCCCTCCCTGTGGCCACCGAGGGGAGGATGACTGTATTAGGGAAAGGCTCACGTTCCCTCAGTGGCGCTGACTTTGGTTCCCGTGGCTACGGGGCTCGCTTTGCCGAGGGCTGGAGGCCATCCAGCAGCCGGAGCAGCTGGAGCAGCCGGAGCCACCCCAGCGAGCGCCTGCACAAATATGGCCTGGCATCTGGGACGCCAGCCTGCTGCCAGGACGGCGGGCTGGCTGAACGCTGGCCAGAGGCGCCCAGGACCCCCCGATGCCCGGCCGACTCCTCTGTGAACCCATGGGTGACGGTGCCTTTTGTTTCAGAACCAGCAGCTCAGCACTCTCGCACATGTGACTGTGCGTGTGAACTACCACATAGACTGCATGTGTGACTACCATGTGGACTACATGTGTGACTACCACGTGGGCTGCATGTGAACTACCACATAGACTGCATGTGTGACTACCATGTGGACTGCATGTGTGAACTACCACGTGAGCTGCACGTGTGACTACCACGTGGACTGCATTGTGAACTACCACATAGACTGCATGTGTGACTACCACGTGGGCTGCATGTGTGACTACCATGTGGACTGCATGTGTGACTACCACGTGGACTGCATGTGAACTACCACATAGACTGCATGTGTGACTACCACGTGGACTGCATGTGTGACTACCATGTGGACTGCATGTGTGACTACCATGTGGACTGCATGTGAACTGCCATGTGGACTGAACGGGACTGCACGGCTTGGATGTAAATAACCACCGAGGTGCGACTGTTCTCCGCCCTGCTATCCGGTGACGGTCTCTCTAAGCGAGTGTGCAGGGCTCCATCACACAGGGATCTCGGGATGTGGAAGGTCAATGTCTGGAAAGGTTCGGGACAAGCTGAGCCCAGCGAGCAGGAGGCTCTGGGCCGGGGGACTCGGGGAGGGGGGGTGTGTGTGTGTGGATGGTGAGGAGTTCTCCCGCCCGCACGGCACTGACCTTCGTTGACGCAGCTGCAGAAGCCGCACTGGAAGCGCCGGCCGCCCTCGGTGAACTGCATGAAGGGGCACATGTAGGCTTTGCAGCGGTTGCAGCGCACGGGCCCCGCCTCGCCGTGGTCCACCAAGTAGAGGGGCGTCTGCGGGGCAAGTGGGAGAGCACACGTGGGTGAGCCGCTCCGGACGCCACAGAGGAGTGGGGACAGGCAGGGCCTCTCCACACACCTCGTGTTCAAGGCAGCACCCCAACAGAAATTAGATGAATGCCTTTTATAAGCATGCATGCACATGCATGCATCTGTGTGTATGTGGGTGTATGATTACCTGTGCGGAGACAGAAATGAAAGAGGGTACTAATGCTACTAACTGTCACAAACATCCTCACCCTCTGTGCCCTGATCTCCTGCTGATGTACACACAGGAGGGACGCACCCTGGAGGGATGCACCCAGGAGGGACACACCCAGGAGGGACAGACACCGGAGGGACGCACACCGCAGGGTCACAGACAGCAGGGTCGGTGGCCCCGGGGCCCCTGCTGCGCTGTGCGCTGCTGAGATGCCCGCCCGCCCCGCACACAGCGCCGGGCACATGCACTCTGCAGGGCTCTGCGTGTGCTCATCAGCCTGGCCAGGGCCGCTGCTGCCACTCAGGCCACACACCTCACTCCGGCTGTGCGCGCTCTGCCAGAGCCGAAAAATAAACTCTCCAGTGGCTTCTTCCTCGTAAACACGCATGAAACCGCTGCACGTCTGCTATTTACAGCTCAAGTGGAAGGCTCAGCATTGGGAGTCTGCCCGCTTCCCAGCTCTTCCGGCTTCAGGCCAAAACCACAGACTGCTCTTGTTAGAAATCCCCTATCGATGACATTTCTGGAAAAGCTTGAGAACTGCAGGATTTGGCACGTCATACGAGTTGTGTGTGTGTGTGTGTGTTAAAGAAGAAGTGTAGGAAGCAGACTGCTCTTAGTGGAGACGGGAAGAGCAGGAGGCAGGTGGGGATGGGGCGGGTGGGGTCAGCAGGCCATTTCTGCTCCTCACAGAAAACAGAGAGCTATTTGCCCTGCCCAGATGTTCAGTGTGAAACCAACCCACTGCTGAGCGTTCGTTCAAAAATAGGTTGCGAGGTCTCAGAGCAAGAAAATAAAGACTAAAACAGATTTAGTAAAATACATGAAAGATCAAGGGAAAATGTTCCTAAGTTCAGAACATTCCCTCTGCCTCTCATGCCCCTCCCCCACAGCTGCTGAGGAACGAGAAGTGGGTTGGACTTTCTCCTTTATCTCTTCTATCCCTGCGTGGGCAGACGGGGTGCCGCTGTAGGGCTGTGCCGCTGTGGGGCTGGGATGGGGATGGAAGGAAACGCACGTGCAGTGTAGAACACTAGGCCTGGCCCGGACCGTTAGGTAAGCGGCAATGTTATCCCCCATACAGACCTTCCCTCCCGCAGACCATCAGCCAGGAGAGAGTATTTACTGACAGGTGAGAGGCACTTATTCATACAAATTCTGAAGTTAGCTGACATTACTGTAAAATGTTACTGAAAAAATGATCTGGAAGGAAGGAATCTATCTTTCAGATTTTTTATGAAATCTACTGGTTAAAAGCGTAGATTTTTAAAACACTCTAGGAATCAGACTTAAGTACACTCATACATTAAAGTAGTGACTTACACAACGCTTCCCTGTGTACACTTTGGTGTGACAGCCTGAAGTGGTGACTGCCTGTCCTCTGAGGCAGGCAGTGAGAAGGTGCTGGGGGACGAAGGGGAGCAGACAGGCTTAGGCACCAGAGCGCCTCCCCAGCGGAGGGAGGGAGAGCAGGTCAGAGCCAGTCCTTCAGCTGCCCTCGGCTGCTGCCTGCCTGCAGCCCACCTCCAGCACCAGACACGCCTTCCGGGTTCCGTTGGGAAAGAAGTCTGCAAGCTGCACGCATTCCCGTCAAGCCTACTTCTCATCCTTTCCCCCAAGGCTTGAAGGCCATCGTCAGTGCCTGAGAGGCTTCAGGGACCGCACAGGATGACAAAGCAGAAGCAATGCGAGCAAAATTACCCTTATTTTTGCCGCTAGGATTTACTCAAAGGCAGCTGTCTGGAGCTGACACGGAGCACCAGTGCCGGCAGGTGCGGCCATGGGCCTGGAGGTGAGTCCCGGAGGGAGCAAGGCCATGCGACCTCTGCTGTAGGCACAGGCAGGCTCCGGGCCCTCTCTGGGAGACGAGGCGCTGGGAGGTAAGGACGGTCTCCAGACGCTGCGGTGACAGCCAGGAATGCTAAAAGCTCTTCACGCGCCTGTTTCTGGGGCCCAGGCCAGCGCCGCGCCTGCTTGTGCCAAGCTCTCTCCGTCTCCAGATGCTGCAGACCCCGCAGTGGGCAGAGCTCACTCAGCCAGTCCACGTCTCCTGAGTCCCACTCCCGTGAGCACCCTTTTTGTAAAGCATCACGCCTCCCCCAAAGCTGGTCTTTTCCTTTCCAAGGACATTAGGTCAGATTTGCTTCCAGAATGTTTTCAGATTTTATAATTTTAAAAAAATAAATGTGCTTAAAACTTTTGGCCTCCAGTGCCTTCCTGCCTGCTCCTTCTCTTCTGCTCTTCACTTCACTGGAAGGAGCGGACACTGGACCCACCCCCTTGGCGATCACCCCCCAGCGAGGACAGGCGGGAGCTGGGCAGGCCTGGGCTTGTTTTTACATTACCAGGGCTGCCAACTGTGTGTGGGCACTAATTTTAATTAAGATGCTCTAATTGGGTAAGTGTCTTCTTTCCTTTTGTGCATGTATCATAAAATCATAGTGGATGTGAGGCCACCAGAGAGAACATAATTCACTGAGAAATGAGCTCTGTGTGAAGAGGAAATAAGTGATTTCAAAACAAAACAGAACAGAACACTTTTGGCTACTTTTCCTTGTGAAAGAGCAAACAATGCGCATCAATCAGTAACTTCTTGGAATACTAATGCAATTTTGAAAGTTTCCTTATTTTAATTTAGAGGCCCAGTGCACAAAATCTGTGCAAGAGGCTCCACCCTCACAGCCCCAACTGCGTCTGGAAGGTCGTTCGGCTGTCCGGTCTAATTAGCGTATTGAGCTTTTATCATTATTGATAGTATCAGTTTTCTAAATCTTCCTGCCATTCTCCCAGGCAACCTTCCATGTGTACAGTCAGTACAGGGTCTATTGCCTGGGACATTAAACAAGCCAGCAGGTGAGAATGCAATCAGAAGCACAGCTCGGAGGAGAGAGGGCACTGAGAAATTGTCACGAGTCAAGTTCTCTCTGGCGTAGAGCCAATGCCCACAGACAGACGCAGAGCTAGCATCGTGCCCCGAGTGGGTGAGCAAACCCTGCAAGGACCCCACGGGGCGGGTGTAACCTCTGTGTTCTGTCTGAGCAGCTGCGTACACACAGTCTGTGTGTTAGAGAAGTGATGAGCAGCAAAGATGTCAGATCTGGACAGCTGGTGATCACAGATCCACTAGGTGGCGCTGTACAACTAACAATGAAAGCCTTACAATTTCCTCAGTAAGAAAACACTCAAGGTAATGAAACCCTAGCCGGTTTGGCTCAGTGGATTGAGCATAGGCCTGTGAACTAAAGAGTCCCGGGTTCGATTCCAGCCAAGGGCACATGCCTTAGTTGTGGGCTTGATCCCCAGTTGGGGGCATGCAGGAGTAGCTGATCAATGATTCTCATCAATGATGTTTCTCTCTCCTCTTCCCTTCCTCTCTAAAAAAAAAAAAGAAACCTCAAAAGATGTTTAAATATTAGTTACAATTTTTAAATGAAGCTTCAGGCTCACTACTGAGCCCAGAGGAAACTGAGTAAGAATTTGTTGAATGCAGGACAAGAGGAGGAGGAGGGGGAAGGGAGGGAGGAGGGAGGGTGGACATTATAAAAGAGGAGGCTCTGGGGGATTCACCTGGGGAAGGGGGACAGCCATGGACGGAAAGTCAATGAGAAGAAAGAAAACACAGAAGTCACGTTGGGCTGAGGGTCCCTGCCAGTTCCTTCATCAGAGCAGATGCCATCTGGGCGGATGAACCCCAATACACTAAGTTCACCCCCAAACACGGATGAAGGCGATGTGGAGCTTCCTCTCATGAAGGAAGAGCACGTGTGCGGAGGGAGCTGAGCTGGGCAGACTCAGGGGGAGCTGAGCCCAAGGAAGGGGTGCCTGGGTGACCCCCGCTCCCTGCTCTGGAGTGACACCCCTGCTCACGCCCACAGGATCAGGGACCTTCCGCCAGGACCGGCCTGCTTGGAGGGGCCGGCTGACCAGCTCTCCCAGGAGAGGGAGCTCACAGGGACCAGCCAGCACCCCCTTCCTGCCAGGTGGCAGAACCAGTCCACAGCCCCCAGGGATTCTGTGCGGGGACACCGCCCCACATTTCCTCCAGCCTCGACCAGGAGAGCTGACCTCCGCCCCTGAGAGCACTCTCTCCTGCTGTGCGGTCCCAGGCACAGCTAATGCCGTGAGAAGGCCAAGCGTCCGCAGAGGATGAAAATGCACCTCACGCTCACACACCCTGAGAGCCCAGCCCCTCCTCCCATAACACGGTGACTGGTGGTCTTCTGTTACTGGGGAAGCTGGGAAATGCTTCAGGATGGAGGTTACAAAGAACAAGCTGGAGGCCGACCCTTTTCACTCTCAGCCACATCTCCTTCCCCATCTCCCTCTGCACTGGCTGTGAAACACCTGGGACACGTCCTGCAGGCATTGCCTGCACCTAGAGCAACTTCTCTGCTGACAGCGGCTGCTCGGTCTCACTGTTGTCAGTGGTGCTGCTGTGAGCACAGGGGTCACGTCTGTCTGATGGGCGCCTCCGGTTTCTGAGGACACATTCCTAGGAGTGGGATAGCTGGCCAGATGGCAGTTCCATTTTCAGTTTTCTGAGGATACTCCATACTGTTCTCCATAGTGGCTGCCCAGCCTGCACTCCCACCAGCAGTGCAGGAGGGTTCCTTTTTCTCCGCATCCTCACTAGTACTTGTCATTTGTTGATTTGTTGATGGCAGCCATTCTAACAGGTGTGAGATGATACCTCATTGCGGTTTTAATTTGCATCTCTCGGATGATCAGTGACTGTGAGCATGTTTTCATACGTCTCTTGGCCTTCTGTATGTCCTCTTTAGAGAAGTATCTA